TAGGGAAAAGAAGAAGAATGATCTTAACCAGGTATCAAGAAATCTTTTCTAAATCAGCATCATGTTGTTCCAAGGCCACAAGTTCAGATAAAGTTTCTGTTGGAGCTTGCTGAGATGATGTGTGAACTTTTGGGCAAAAATCTGTAGAAAATTACCCTCCTTTAGTTACAGTGCCCCTGAAAATACTGTATACACGTTGTCCTTTTGACTTCCTGTCATGCATACAAAAAAGTGAACACAAAGTGTGGTGCTGGATGGGAAGTTCATTAAGCACAGCCTAGGGAGAGACACTTTCTTCCTGCTTTGACCTGGCCACTCTCCTGCACTTCACGGAGTATAGCAAGGGTTCCATCTCAGGCACTAGCATGCATTGCTTTCTCCTTTCTGATGCAGACCATGAAAATGCTTTTATCCAGTGCAGTTTCTTACTGAGCAATTATTTTCAAGGAATGGTGAAAGGATCTGGGTTTCCTGGGAGGCTGGTTACATATGCAAAAAATAGAGTGCTTACTAAATGATGCTGACATTGTTTTGGAATACGGAAACTGCTTTTGGAATTCGCTGCACGCTAGTAGTAGTTCTGTATATATTTTATGAATAGAGGTATATTGATATGGTGTCAAATATGTTCTTTCCTTCCAGAAATATTCTTTTGTTGCACTTCTAACAGATGTCCTGGAAATTGAGGTTAAAGACAAATTTGCCAAGAGTCGTCCAATCATCAAGCGCTTTCTTGGGAAATTAACCATACCAGTTCAGAGACTACTGGAGAGGCATGCAATTGGGTAAATGAATACATTCTTAATGCTATCTGCCAGTGATAAGGCAGACTCAGCATTCCTTTTGGCTTACTGGCACAGACCAACAAATTTCTACTATGTCTGTAGTAAGAAATTTAGTAGAGATTTCAATAGCCTCATTGCCTGACTGGAGGATGTGTTTCTAACCCTGTTCTGAATGTATGTACCCATGTTTGTGTATATGCGTGTCTATAATTTATTTTCAGCTTAATTTCTTTACACAAAAAACGTTACCCTCACAAAAACCGGTACCTTCTGGCTAGCTAGCTAAGAAGCAAGGCATTATCACAATACTTACTACATGATAGTGTGCAAATTTATTAGAAGAAGCAGATTTTATTGTCTCACTTCTTTTACAGTTCAAGTATTGTTTGTTTGATAATCAGAAATTACTGGCTGTGACCCCTTATTTTTCATAGTGCTGGTGGAACTATGTAATTAAAATTACCTTTTGCTATGAATAATGCACTGATGGGATTCAAAATTCACCTGTTGTGCTATTTAGAAGAAAAATCTGTTCATTATTCAATAGCTACCTGTTCTGGTATAAAGATGCAACTCATGTAGAAACTTCTAAGATGTTTTATACTTCATGATAGTTGCTGGAGGGGACATAGTCAAGTGGAAGATCCAGCAAGGCTTTCATACAACCATATGTACTGAGAAGAGCCTAAGACTTGGCGCTGTGATACATTGCAGGTGTGAAGCAAATGGCTGGAGGTCTCCAAGAGATGCAGTGGTGTGTGCAGAAATGTAATTTTACATTTAAAGCAGAGCAGTAATTGTAGAGTGTATTATTTTGCTGAGATCTTTTTACATATATACACCTTATTTGGCAAATTAGAAAAAAATGATTCCTTGAAAGACAATAGGAGGAACTGAATTATTCAAGTATGGTTTATATAGGACCTAACTCTAGGACTGCTAAAGTTAACATGTCTCCATTAACTTTAAAAGGCCGCTGGATGAGGCCAATGAGGAATGATGGTGAAATAAAGTGCATATATTCTTCCCTAAAAGTGTAAGGGCATGGCAGTGTCCTCAAGCTTTTGCACAAAAAGCAGGATATAAATGACTGGCCTCCTTTTTCACAGATATTCCCTTCAAAGTAACAAGTTGACTAAATGGAGAAAATCAAATTCAATTTGAAAACAGTTTTCAGCTTTAAGTTTCCAAAGTGGTGGTTACACCAGTAAGTAAAGTAAGAATAAAATTGTAAGAGTAGCTTAAAATTTTGATGATGTCTTCAGATACAGAAATTATTAAATAAAATAAAAGCCTGCCCATTTGATTTATAGTAGTATCCAAGAGCAGTTCAGGTGTGCATACAATCTAACCTTTCTAAGAAATGCTTCATCTTGGAGTTTCAACAAATTCTGATAAGCTGAGCAAGCAGCTTTTTCTAATAAATTTGCACACTGCTATACACTCAAAAAGAGCACCAAGATACAGGCTGGTTTCAAACCTAGTTCAGGGTTTCTGTGCTAAACCCCAAAATGATTTTCTGCTCTAGGATTCCCAGTGCTGTGAGGTCTGGAAATTGCCCTTTTGCTGTGTTCTTGTCTATGTTTTTTTCAAACCAGTATTCTGGAAGACATTCATGGTTTTCTTCTCCATACTTAAGTTCTGTATATTTGATATATCAAACCTTTTTAGGAAAGGAAGGGCTGTGTAACAATTCTGTAGTAAGAATATAGGTAAATACTCCATTTGGTTTTGCCATACTGCTGTTAAAACTGCTGTTAGATCAATGTTGCCTCTTCATCTGTAATTTGCTTGTCCATTTTTAGTTTTTACACACCAGTCATTTCAAAGGGTTCCTTCTTCCTAGACATTGGAAAGACAGACAACATTTCACCAAAAGTTTTGAAAAGCAAAGGAGTGGTTTATATAGATGTGAAATAGAAATGTACCAAGTGTACAATCAGCTGCTAATTCTCTTGTATTTTGTTTTTGGTCAAGCAAGTAATCATCTTCACCTTCTTCTTCATTTTGATGATGCAGGGACAATTGAAATCCTCTGCTGGTTATCGTGTGAACTTGAAATATTGCATGAACAAAGTCCAAAGACTTACAGTACTCTATGCATAACTTGTCTCTCCCTCAATTAGTGATCAGTATTAATGAATGAAATGGTGAAGTCCAGAACCAGCCACTTTTAGACAGACTGAACTAAAATTCTGCCCCACTTTCAGCTGTTGTCATAGCTCACAAGTTTGCATGACAAAGCATCAAGTGGCTTTGAATTTCATGGAAAATACGATAAATGAGCATGAGAATCATCTAGTATTGATTCAACTGAATACGGAGCAGACTTTATTCATGTTGTGGCTTTCTCTAATCTTGAATGGCTTAGAGTAACATAAACCTTACGTAAAATGTAGAAACCTCAAATGGTAATCTTCCGAGGATACCTTCAAGTCTAGCTGAAGAATTGTACTTGGAGTACAGAGCGATGAATCTGTGACAGATCCTGGAGACACTATTACAGTAATTCGACGTACTGCAGCCTATAGAGCAACATGGGGAGGCTACTTTGCCATACATTGTTCATTCAGGACTTTTTTTGCTAAAAGTAAATCAAACTGCTGCAGCTTATTTCAGTAATGACCTTGCGTTTGTTTTAGTCTGTCATATTGCAGTAGGGGTGCTGCTCCCGGTGAAGGAGGGGTATTTATACCAATATAAATTTATCTGCATAAATAACAACAATTTTCTATGGAGGTCTTCAGTAGGTGCCTCCTCTCCCTTCAGCTGTCCCAGCTGTGCTGAGCGGGGCTGGGGCTGTGAATTCTGGCTATGCCTAATAAGACATAGGATCCTACAGGATCCTAGGATCTAATCCTAAGTCTCAAGCCGATACAAGTGCTTAATCAAGTCCGAGTCCCACTTAATTCAGTAACTCTTAAGAACCTATCTGAAGTTAAATCCAAGCAGTAATAGCTTTTCTAAATAGGAATGCGTAAGTGCTTTATTGAACACAAATTAAAATGAGAAGAAACTATCTGGGAATTTTGTATATAGTAAAATACCACAAGGGGGCAGGAGGTTTTAAAAAATAAAAGATTGTGTTAGTTACAGAACATTTTGGGTTGGGGGAAGGAAGAAGTTAGGGGAAGAAGATCCTTTGCACTTTGATTTCTTTAGGACTTAGGAAGAGATGGATGTTAGTGCTTTTCTATAGAAGCCAAAGTGTGTGGCTAATTTCAAGACTGTAATAGAAACTACCTTCTATCATGCTGACCCTTGGCTGATAAAAGCCTTTGACACAAAATACTGAAAAAATAAAACTAGCTAAAAATAAAACCCCAACCAAAAAAAACCAAAACAAAAAAGAACCCACAAAAACCCCCAAAACAAAACAAAAATCACCACACACACAAAAAAAATCCCAAACCCAGTATCTTTGTTTTTGCAGAGACCAAGTTGTCAGCTATAACCTTGGCAGAAGGCTCCCAGCTGATCATGTAAGTGGGTATCTCCAATTCAAGGTGGAAATCACATCTTCTGTTCATGAAGGTGAGAATTTGTCAATGATCTGGATCTCCAGATAATTGTATGGAGAGAATTTCTGTGTGTTTCTATTTATAGGGTTTTTCTGTGATAATATACTTTCTCATTTGTGTACAGTCCTCTATTACAGATTTTTCTATTGGGATTCAAAGTTTAGATATGTCAGCTACTGCTTTGGAGATGCTAGTTCCAAAACTACACGTTTCATACTGTTTTCCTATTTTGTTAGATAGATTTTAAATGAATCTGCTTATGACTCTCATTTTATGGGATAGATTGGGCAATGAAGTTCATTGCTTCGCCTCACTCTGCAACATCTTTGTTCTGTAACACCTTTGGATGAGATGAGCAGTTGCAAGTAAGATTCCACCTGAGCTCTCCTCCTCTGCTAGTTTACATGCAGATCACTCTGTCCTGTCCCACTTTCAGAGGACTCTGCCCTGCTTAGAACCAAGAATGTCTGTTACAGTTCTAAAGATACATACTTCTGTTAGGCACTTCTTTTATTTCCCTTTTTTTCCTGTTCTGAAGGCAACTAGCAGAACATGGCTGGTACAGTGGCATGTTTATAACATCATATGTGCCTATTTACATGTTATGATCTTAGATTCTCCCTCATTAGACTTGGTATAATCTCTTTGGTAGTGAGCTATTGGTCTCTTAACTTGATAGGACATTCTTGGCTTTTTTGTAGCCATGTAGTCACATATCTCATTAATATTTTTGCTTTGTCACCATTAAAAGAATGCTTCTGTCTTCAGTCCTGTTTATTGCCAGGCACTCTGGTTCATCAACATCACTGTTAGGTTTCTTGCAGGTGTGTACAAACACAGCTGGATTTTTCAACTCTGTGCCTGTTTAATTTCCATGTGGGGAGATACCATCTTGTCTCTCAAATGAGATGGCCAATTTTTATTTCTCTTGTATATGTATTCCCATAACATAGCTAATATCTCATGAACTTTACTTAAGTAGATTCACGTTCTTTACAGTGGGAAGTCCTGTAAACTAACTCGAAATAAATGTTGTGTATAGATACTTGTACACAATTTGTGATTCCTCATGTGATCTCAGATGCTGTTTTGCATGCTGCTAAAGATGTAATAACAGCTGATTATAGTGACTGGGTTGTGGAAATCCTACTTTTGGGTATGAGAGATACACTGTAGAAAACTGGTTCCTTGGTGGCAAGGCTGGTTTTACTGATAGTTTGGCAAGATACTTGGTAGTTCTCTGTCTTTTGAAAGCAGAATGGGAGCACTTTAAATTCATGCTTCATACCTGTTAAATTTTCTATGTTCTACAAAATAATATTGACTTACCCAGTGAAAATTCTGTAACTGCTGTTACAATGCTGTAGATGCTTCTGTTGTTTTAGTTGTATTTTCTTCCCTTAGTTGTCGATTGAAATAAGGAAGTATCTTTAAAGAAGTGTATTTTTATACCACTTCTGTGATGCAGATGAAGTAGAATGAACTGTCTGTTGCTGGATTGTGCTTCACATTCAGCCTTTGTGTCTCTGCAGATGCTTCACCAGAAACAGTTGGCACTTTGCTGGGAGTGAACTCCGTAAATGGAGACTTGGGGAGCCCCTCTGATGATGAGGACATGCCACCAGGACATCATGATACATCCACAGTGTGTTCCAATGGTCCAGTCCTTGAGGATTCTTCTGGAGAAGCAATCCTGAGACACCCTTTAAGGACTAGTAGAACTTTGGAAACGGACCAAGATGAGTTGACCTCTGGTGCTTCAAGATCATCACCTACCAGAGGTCGCCAGGACTCACTAAATGACTATCTGGATGCAATAGAACACAATAATCATCCCAGACCTGGGACGTCTGCCTGTGGTGAGCGTCCACGTGGAGCATCCCCAAAACTGAGGAGTAGCTTCCCTACTGACACAAGACTTAACGCTATGCTTCACATTGACTCAGATGAAGAGGAACATGAGCTGCATCAAGACCTGGGTTTTCCGTCTTCCTTGGAAGACGATGGTGGTTTAGTAATGCTTAATGGTGCTACAAGGAACGTTGAAAGGAATGGTTTAAGTTACTCATCAGATCAGGTAATGCAAGGACCTGCAGAGAATGAAAACGTTTCAGCCTCTGAAGTTCCTTTGCCATCAACTGATGACCAGCGAGAGACTCTCCCAGAGCTTCCACCGTCACAGTTAGCAGGAAGTAAAAGCCTTCAAGGTTCTCAAAGTGAAGCACCAGCAGACCAGGCTGGCAGCGAGCCGGGTACCACTCAGGAGGCAGAGCAGCCTCCTAGCAGTGTGGACGCAGGAGCTGCCGATGCCGCTGCTGGGAGCAGAAGGGGCATTAGTGAAACGGAATCCACTGATCAAGGGTCTGAACCTTCCCAGATATCATCAGAAACCGAGCAGAGTGATCCTGCTCGCACGGAAAGTGTCAGTGAGGCCAGTACCCGGCCAGAAGGGGAGAGTGACGCGGAAGGGGCAGACAGCTCTTGCAATGAAAGCGCGACTGTGCGACGGTCTTCAGTGGAAATGCGGTGTTCTTCATTTGAAAATGCCAGGTTTCCTGAGACTCCAGCCTTCTCTTCTCAGGAGGAGGAAGAGGGAGCTTGTGCCACCGATGCAGCTAGAACTGAGCCAGGTGCTGAACCACAGGACTCTGCAAGTACTTCTGGTTCACTGCCTGTGGTACAGTTACCTCAGGAGGAAGGACAGGAAGCCGAGGCAGGTGAATTACAAGACCAAGAGGAAGCAGAAGAAATCTGGCAAAGAAGAAGAAGCCTGCAGGCGACCGCTGCCAATAGCCAGTCTCAGGATGAAGAAACTGAAGGAGCCCAAGCAGCTTGTGAGGGTGCTACAGCACAGGTTGAAGGAGCTACTGGAGGTAACTACTGCAGGAGGCACTTTCTGAAGTGACCTTTCTTCAGCCAGTAAAAATGACTAAAAAATTAACATCTGAAAATAAACATCTTCATTTCTCAATTTCATCATCTTTCAAGCTTTGGGGGTGGGTTTTTTTTGTGGGGTTTTTTTGTTTTGTTTTTTTTTGGATGTTTTTTCTTTTTTCTTGGTTTGGTTTTATTTTGTTTTGTATTTTCCTTTGAGATTCATTCTCCTCTTCAGCAGACTCTTGGGGTTTTGATCTAACAAAAAGTCAAACCTGAAATATCCAAGACGTTTATTTTGAAATTGGATATGTTGTAATTCCTGAGAGGGTAGTGAGAAGTAGGATAAAGAGGAAGAAAGAGCTCCACTGCATTACCCTGCTTGCAAATCAAGATGGTAATGAGAGGGAGCAAAATTCCAGAAACTATGCAAACGGGATTTTATATTTGGGCCCTTTCTTTCACATGTTTATATATTAGCATTAAAACATAAGGGTAATCAAAAGAAGGGAGGAAAATCTTACGTCTCACTAAAAATACTGAAAGTGAATACATGACCCTAACAGATTGCTTCCAAGCACATTTCACAATGGATTATCTGTTAAGTTTCTTCAGGGATTGAAATGAAGTAGGTTTCTGAATGCATCTTTTCCATAACATTTCAAAAGTTTGGGGATCTATTAATTTCTTCTCTTCATAAGCAGCTCTTTGATTTGGAAAGAATAATTTTGGTATTTATTTCAAATACTGTCAAAACTTCTTTTTTACAGCATCTTTTAGACATTTGGGACTATATTAGGTGTCAGGATGGACCATGTTTCTGCAGATAAGTGTGGCTGCAGCAGGGAAGGTCAATGGACTGTTTCACCTCCCACCCTTACAGCAAGGGCCAGGTGGAGCTTTGTTCTTGTCCCTTGCTGGAGTATGGCTCAGGCACACACTGTTGTTTCTGTGCCCTGGCTTCTGCTGGTCACAGGTGGATATGGCATGTCACAAGAGGTGACATTTTCAGGATCAGGACTGCAGTGCATCCCAGAGATCTCACTTACTAGAACTGTAGACATAACTTATTTGCCCCCCAAAATATATGACTGTTAGATATATCCTAAATACAGTAGTCCTGAAAAAGCTTTAGCTTGTCTTTAGAGGCAAATGTAGGGCTTCCCCACATTGACTGTAAAAATAATTATGGGCATTTTGATTCCAGGTGCTCAAGCCAATGGCCATCAGCCCTTGAGGTCTCTGCCTTCAGTACGTCAGGATGTTAGCCGGTACCAGAGAGTGGATGAGGCTCTACCACCAAGTGAGGTTCTTCATACTTTAACTGGGGGCTAAGCTGCCTGAATCTCATTACTGAGATCTCATTACCTTTCTTTTTCAAATGTGAGAACTGAGAATGATCAGCTGAGAAGTTCTAAGTGATGATTAAGTGTAGTGCTGTTATTGTAAAAGGCATTGTGCTCAGTCTGCAAACTATCAGGATGTGTGTTCGTAATTATGCCTGGTGTATATAGACTTGCTAAGTGACATTTGTGGAGAAGGAAGGTATGGTGCTGCCTTTTCAGTATGCAGAGCACATGGGTAGGGAGGTGAGATGATGTGAGGCACTTGTAAGGAAAGGTGTCAAGCACTCTGAAATCTCTGAATACTTCTATCACTGCAGATTATATGAAAGGTGCCTGTGGTTTCCTTGCATTTTTTGAGGCAGGGTGAAGACTTCTTGAATGAAAATAAACCTGGCTGTTAAGCAACAGTTAGTTGAGTCTAAATTGACAGAAAAATTGTAACTTCTCTAATGCGTATGAAAAATACATTGCTTCCAGTGTTGGACTGATGCATGTGCTTAAACTTGGGGCAGCGAAAGTCTATTCAGTATTAGATATTTAAAGAAAGGAGAAAGGACCAAAAACATAAAAGCCGAACTGCTAATAAACAATCATTGCTTTAAAATAAAGAAAGAAAAAAATTGTGTTCAGACCCATTGAAATCTAGCAAAGCCTTATTATTTTAAAGGAGTCAGGAATTCATCTGTTTAGTGTAAAATTAGTAGATCCTTATTTCACAGCATGGAATGGAACTGTTTGCTCTGTAATTGGAGAGGGTTACTGGAAGGAGCCAGATTGCAGAACACAGAACTGTGTATTGGAAAGCCACTGCTGCTTCTGTTACAATCAGTGCATATAACAAGTGAGCCCTGCATGTGGATCCTAAAGTCAATTAACTGCCACATTAATAAACCAGCATTATTTTTTACAAAGTTGTGCCTGGAAGACATATGTTTCAGTTGCATTTTTGTCACTTTTCATACAGAAAAAGACAGAGAATATTACAGGGAGTACTCAGAGATCAGCATAATAAATGAGAAAAACATATAGATAGCTTTTATAGTACCATGGCTTACGCATAAGGGTTATTTTTGTGTTTCAGAAGCAAACTATACAATAACTACTTGGAAATACTATTGCAATCTTAATGGAAAAGGTTTGGCTGTGTGGTATTTGCCGGGATTTTATGCAGTCTTGCTTGGGCATGCACATACACATATCCCCTTTACAATCCAAGCCCAGTGCAATCTTATGTAGATCATTCACTTGCTGATGTGAATAAAATCTTAAATTTTAATTGTTGCCTAGATTCAGTTTTTTCTCTCCAAAGCTCTGCTTTTGGATATATAACAATTTTAATATTATAACAGTGAAAAAACAGAGAAAATATTTAGAATACAATTTTGAGTTATAAAATGTAGCTTCTATGTGATTTGGGTTGTAATCTGTTTGTTGTTGAAAGAAAAATAGTTGTATTTCTTTCAGTTGTGTGTAGGTTAAATTAAAGAACAAGAGAAAAAACTAAATTATTAATCTAGTATTTCTGCTTAGAACTTGCAACATTTTTGCCCCAATCCCTATATTCCAAAGGAAAAATGAACAAGTAAGCTCACTGCACAACCTTGATGAATTACAGTTTTGCTGTTTGGCATTTAAGTTATTTGTAACACATTTGACTAACAAAGATTTGACTAATGGAAGATATCTTTATCCATAACAACACTGATGTAGGTGCTTTACTTTAGAAGCCATTGCCCGAGTGTTTAAACTTGTGTATTTGAAATTGAAAGCTGGCAAAATGCTTTTCTTCTGCAAGACCATGTTACAGAAATGGTGACAGTGTCTCAGAATTGGACGTAAAATCACCACAAGAAAAATCTCAGCTATCATACAGTGGTTTAGGGTTTAACATGTAAGCAAAATAGTGAATTCACAAATGTAAACTGTTTTTTGGGTTTGTTGGTTGGTTGGTTTGTGTTCTCCCTCCAGTGAACAATTCTGTCCTTCCCAGAATACTTCCATGTTTTGTGTAGTTTGCAAACTGGTTACAAATTTGGGGTATTTTTATTTCATCAGAAGATACTACCTTTTTTGAAATGGGACCATTGCACAGGAACATCTGTTTCAATAATTTTTTCTTTTTAAGAAATAGAAACATTTTTCAGAGAATGTTGAATGTTTGCTTTTTTGAGATATAAATGATGTTAGTTTGAATAGCAAATACAGTGCTTACGCCATAAGGTTTGCATTGATGTGACTTTATTTTTAAACTTGTATTTTAAATTTACAGTATAATAGAAAATGTTGAATTTGTTTCTCCTGGAATTTAAATTTGTACCTTAGGTGGTTCTCTTTATTCCTATTCTATTGTGTTGATTTTCCTTTTCTTTCTCTCAGTCTCTGAGTTACTTTCCTACATAGATCTTGTTAACACTAGAAGTGCTTTAAACACTTAGTAGGCTGTTTTGACTGTGCATCACAAAGAAGAGTAATTTGCATTGTGGCCAGCTAAACCACAGATCTGTCTGTGGAGGTGACACAATGAGTTTATCTCAAAACCTGTCTTTCCTCCCTCTTTGTTGAGTCAACACTACAGTGTAATGCAGGGAGCCACTTGCTGCCTCCAACAGTTGACAGAAATTATAGTGCTCGTACAGTAACAGCCTGAGGTTTTAAGTCTGACAGTATTAAATAATTTACAGTAGAATTTAGTTCTCCTTCTTTGTTGTCAAGATACTTTTATGCCCTCTTTCCTCATGGAGTGGTGACCAATTCAGCATTGGTTGCTTGCCAGTGGTTCTTGAAGTGACAGGGCAGTGACTGATGTTTTCACCTAGACTTGCAATATAGAAAGTCTCTTCTGGAAACCTTCTGAGCTCTCAGAGACTGTTTTTCAGCTGAATTGCTAAATGATTTGCACGTCTCTGCAGTGTCTAAGAATCAGGCATGTCTGTTTCTGTATACAGAATATGATTGATGTCTTGCTGTCTTGCTCATTTTGTAAGCAGCTATTAGGCAGAAGTGTTTCTGACCCCAAGAACTTACGAACTAAAGCCTAGGTGTCATGATGCAACTGGTTTCTGCTAAGCACTGAGAGCCAGGTGTGCTTGGGGAAAGGCCCCAGAGGCTTTATCTCAGCTCTCCTGGTTTGTCTCCATTGTCTAGACTTCCAAGACTGTAGCTTGTGTTGCAAAACCAGTGGATAGCATTATAATTACCACTTGCACAAGAAGGTGAATTTGCTGTGATATTTGTATTATGGACAATTTTGGAACATGCATTTAATATATGAGGAGTTTTATTGTTGCAATTGTCCATCTTTTCTGCCAGGTCTTCTTGCCTTTAACATGTAAACCCAGGAGGAGAACTGGCAGCTATTTTATTACTGTTAGTATTAGCTGGGGAAAAACAATGATAGGTGTCAAGTTTTGCAAGGTTTTTGTACTTATCTGTTGGCCTTTTGCACTGCAATAAGCCTCAAGTTAGATCTTCAGTCCAAGAGAATGAGACTGAGTATCCTGGTACTTTATTTTTCTGGTTTTTCTTTCCTGTTACAGTTACTGGTTAATGGGAAATTGAATAGAGAAAGGAATTGAAATTATTAGCTATGGATTACTTACAGTGGGGAATTTCATTTATGGGATAAAATAGGGAAAAGCCACATCTCTCAACCCTTTAGCAAGAAAGTTCTGTCCTGAAGTCATCATGTAAAAGAGAAATAGAAACTTGAAACAATAGATTCAGTTACAAAAGTGACAGAGCTAAAATAAATAAATAAGCCCCAAGCTCTCCATAGTTCACAGTATTTTGTTGCTACTTAGACTGGGAAGCTCGAATTGACAGCCATGGACGGATATTTTATGTGGACCATGTGAACAGGACAACAACCTGGCAGCGACCCACAGCCCCCCCAGCCCCACAGATTCTCCAGAGGTCAAATTCCATACAGCAAATGGAACAGCTGAATCGCCGGTAAGAACTACCCTTGTTTGTGAATTGTGTGCTTGCAAAACTGCATTCACCATTGTAAGGCCTTTTCAGTTGCATGTGGGCTTCTAGGGCTTTTCCATTCCACCTGTGTTCATAAGCTGTGTGGCTGAAAAAAATATCTGATAATGGTTTTCAGAAATGTAAAAGGCTGTTAATGCAGAAATTAGAGCTCTGTGTATATTAACCTACATGACAGAAAAGATGGGCAAGCTCCCTTGAAGGCAGAATTGGATCAAAGGTACCATATACTATATATAAAGTCCAGTTTTCTAACCCTAGGTACCAGAGCATCCGAAGAACAATGACTAATGACAGGCCTGAAGAGCATGCAAACGCGGTGGATGGAGCTGGAGAGGAGACTGACTTTCACCATTCTAATGCAGGTTAAAAAGTCCCCAGATTTCTCCCCTCTTCCTCCCCCTAAAGGGAGCACTAATCTCATAGATGATCTAATGAGAGTTACATAAGGCAAAACCTGACTTCTCCCTCTGAAAGTCTGGATGAAAATGAAACTATTCGTTTTCATTGCTGTTTAGTTTTTGAAGATTATGGCTTATCCTGTTGAAAAAGAATGTGAGATTCAGAGCGTTTTTCTGTTGGTACCAGACTGGGTAAAATATAGGCAGCAACATCTGAATTGAAAAAGTCTAAAATTGTGTAATCTAGGTTACAAATATTTTGAATTTGCTACTGCATTTTGAAATGGGAAAATATAGACTAGAAAAGACTGGGCCATCATTGGCTTCATCCCCATGCTAAAGATACAGAGAATGAGCTATACTTAAATCATTCTTGGCAAATGCCATCTCATGTGTTCTTATAACATGTTCTTCAAGTTGATGGACATTCTGTACTCCTTAGACAGTCTACTCAGTGTTTCTCTTACAACATGTTCTTAAATCTTTTCTTGCTTGTATGATTCAAATTGATAAAGCTGTTTGTAGTGATGCCTTGGTAATGATTGTTACTGGAAGTCTTTGTCATTCCCTTTGCTGTTAGATTTTCGAAGAGAGAATGTGCTGCCTCACTCTACCTCCAGATCCAGACTTACTTTATTGCTCCAGTCTCCCCCTGTGAAATTCCTTATCAGCCCAGAATTCTTTACAGTGCTGCATTCTAACCCTGTGAGTACAGCGTCTACAGCTGAAATACTTTCATAAATACATGCTTATAAATAGAGTTGTCTTGTGTACAAAGATACTGCTCAGTGTTTGATGCTAAGATAATGATAGTAAATAAGGAGGGTAGATAAGTACAAACACTCATCATCACTCCTTACAAGTGGTGGGCTATAAAAGTCATCCTAGTTGGCATTATAGCTTCTAGAGTTTTTATTTTTCACTTAGTTCTTCATCTTTATTAGGATACAAAACTCATTTGTTTTACAAAGCAGCAGCTTTCTTACTGTGCTTACCAGGGGGTGAGAGAGAATTCTGAGAATGAAAATGATGCTTATTTTTTAAGATCACATTGCTATTTATGGGATGATTCCCCCCCTGCCCCAGATTGCCTGGTTTATTGGACATCACACTGAACAAAAAAAGTATCTTAATATACATTTTCCTTTTTGTTCTGCCTGTTCTTCAGTGCTGCTTCTTAAGTAGTTGGTTTTGGGTTTTTGTTCCCAGTGTATCTTTTTCTTTGTGTAACAGGATGTATAGTGTAAACTGCAAGGACACTTGTAACTAACTGAATGTTTTTTAAAGTAGTGATCAATGTTAGTTTGGTTTTGATATACATGTATGCGCACATAGCTTTTTCTTGAATGGGATTATCTACCTCTGTCCTTAAAGTAGGACAGGTGTAGATAAGACCTCTGGCCAGGGAGTAGAGGTGTAGAGGCATAGAGTGATTTAGGTAGTAGCACAGTGCAGTCAGAGGGCCTGTGTTGTGGCTTCTGTCTATTGCTAATCCTGGAGAATGACCTGGTTTCTGGTTGGCTGGGGTTATTTTCTGGGGAAGGGTGTTAACTTTTACCCCTTTTATTTAAAGTTTTCCCTATTCCTCAGTGCTCTGAGGAATTATACATGGACATGCAATCATGGAATCATAGAATGGTTAGGTTTGGAAAGGACCTTAAGATAATCTAGTTCCAACCCCCCTGCCATGGGCAATGGAATCGGTAATGTTTTGCACTTTGTTGAAGTGAGTCAACTACGAAACTGTCCATCTCAGGCAAATTAAGAAACGTCAAACACTTACCCCAAAACCTCAGAGAAAGGACCATTTTTTTCATACCAGTATAGCTTAGGTGGAGATAATTTTTAAGGTTTTATAGATTATTTATTTATAGTGGAAACATTGTCTTTTGTAGTAAGAAGAAATTGTATCTTTTGAAAGTATTTCCTTTTGTTACTTACATTTCAGAGTGCCTACCGCATGTTTACAAATAACACGTGTTTGAAGCACATGATCACCAAAGTCCGGCGGGACACCCACCACTTTGAGCGCTACCAGCATAACCGTGACTTGGTGGGCTTCCTCAACATGTTTGCCAACAAACAGCTGGAGCTGCCCAGAGGCTGGGAAATGAAACATGACCATCAGGGCAAGGTAAGCGTAATGTGTGTGCAGCTCCGAGTGCTTGATCTTGGATGTTGCGATGTCAGGACTCAGTTGGGTGCTCTTGACGGGAGCATAAGTGCATGTAGTTCTCCAGGTGTAAAAGTTGTGCATCCTTTACTCCTGCTTTTGCCAAAAGAAGATTGGAATTTCTTGTCTGTGCTGACAAAACACTATATGAAAGGGAGGGAGACTGAGAAGTGGGTGTTAATCATTACAAGGAAAATTGCTAGAAAATCTGTGGCCTTTTTACAGTTAAATAAGTCTCTTACATTCCCTTGGATGTTTAAAACTTCTTTCGAAAAGAATTACCTACTCTGTAAATACAGGTGGTTCAGTGAAGTTCTTGGAGTTTTCCTTGTGTGTTCGTAAGATAATTTAGATGTAAAGTTACTTTATTATTATTTACTGAATTTTATTTACCTATTGTTGAACCATTTCTAATAGGATTTTTTTTCTTGTTTAACTGTCAAGCTTTTCCTTAGGGCTTTTATTTTTCCTTCAATCTCAAAGTCTTGAGTGGGATTCATTAGTGTACATTATTTGTACTGGTACCATTTTCCTAGGTAGGTCCTCTACCCAATGATAAGTAGGTCGAGTGTTCATCACTTTCTGAGATAAAATGGCTGCACTTAAGACTGGGATAGCTCTGGGCAGGGTCATTCTATTGGTTATTTATTGGTTGACAGGAAACAAGTTGTGTATAATGTTTCATTAATAGGGATCTTGAGTAGGTGCAAGTCTCACTGCTTTTCAAAACACGTATCACTTTTCAATTTCCAACAGCATATTTTAAAGTCAAAGAACAGGCATTTTTACAGTAGTAATGTACCTTTAAACTAGTGTATCCTCACTATCTAGAATATAATTTTCTTTGTGGAAGATAGGGTTAAAATAGACTGTGATTAGCATGTGAGGAAATGATAAGGCTATCAGTTCATGTGAGCGGTCCTTATTATGACTACAGGCATATCAAGCTTCTCAGTTCTCATATTTGTAAGTCTTAGTGTGGTTAGTTAGCTATGAGTGTCTGTATAAATGAAGATCTTGATGGTTGCAAAGATTACAGGCAGGTTCTAAACTGAAGGGTAGAAAAAGTGCTTGAGGGTTGTTTTCTTCTTGGGATTAACAACTCTGGAAAGCACTGTGTTTTTTCATTAGAAACATAATTAGGAATGTGCAGTTATACTTATGCTGTTCCTTGTCTCCCGTCCTCTTTTCTGTTTTAAGTAATTCTTTTCCTGTTCCGCTCTTCAAAAGCTGGTTTTCTCCTGAATAATACAGCAATTTTCAATTGACTTTAATAGGCATTCCAGAGAGAAAATCAGATCTCTGGATTTTGGTGTGGTATTTGGTAACAGTGATGCTACCACAGCATTAATCAACAAGAGGAAACATTGACTAAATCCCCATTGGGATTTCTTCACTTTGATTTAGGCTCAGTATTGTTCATTTTCATTATGTTGACTTGCTTTGTTACAAAGCAGTGCTTGTGGCTAGTAGAAAAGCCTATTCAGCACTTGAGAGAGAAGATGGCCAGTACACAGTCAGACCAGTGCTTGATGACACCAAACCGAAACTGGACCTGCCTTCCTTAAAGCATAAAGCTAAAGAGAAGAAAGTAGAAATTAGCCGTGCCACAATATATAATTATATTCTATTTCCCTGGCTACTCTTCCTGCTGAGATGAGGTTTTCCTTTATTTTTCCAAGTATTCATAGTAAGAGCTTGGTGCGCTTGCTCACAAGGCACAGTGATCTTTCTGACCCTTATTCAGTGCTGAGTAGTAGAGTTTTTACTTCCCAGTGTCAGTGCAGTCGTGGTTGCTTGTCCTCTTCGCAGGCTGCCTGCCAAGGTCAGCTGGGGACTGCCTACCTCTGAACTCCCTTCAAAGCTGCACAGTAAAACCCGATTGCCCACTCCTGACGCCTCCATGCATCCACTACAGACTATAAAATCCATTTGGCATGCAGTTCTCTCTAAAAGTTCTGGTGTAACTAGTATGTAACTTCAGATTGGCATTAACAGATGAACCATCTTCAGTCACTGACCGCAGGGAGGCAGAAAACAACTGGAAAAAGTGGTAGGAGGAAGCATCCACTATCAGGGTCCTATCTAGTGTAGACTAGACAGGTCCCTGATCTGAACTCAGTCCCGTAAGTTTGAAATTCTGCATTGCTGCATACATACACATACACACATGTATTACACAGATATGTACCCCAGTGCATTTGTGTAGTATGTGTAAACACAGTCATATTGTGAAGCCAGATACAAATGTATACATTTTTTAACTAGATCTCTACAAGAAGTGCAAATTCATTATAAGTTATTATAGGACTTTTTTGGTTTTTCTTTCTACAGTGAAAGAATCCATTGTAATTGATTACAAATGTCTTCAATAGGAAGAAAAAGTATTTTAGCAAGCTTCATAGACTTGAATTGGAAAGATAACTTAGGCAACTATCTGTATTTAATGGGCTACCTGTAGACTTGGAACTACCCATCTTATGTCTGTCTCTTCACGCATCATAGATTCATGGATTATAGTTGGACAGCAGTTACCAGAGGAATTTTTTTGAAAGGAGTCTGTGAGCCACGCTGTGTTTTGAGCTGTGTGCCAATGTCCAGATCAGCCTAAATCCTTGAAGCTCCAATTATGATCTTCACTGAAGCTTCACAGTAGTAACTTATGCTTTATTTTAAAGTAGCTGTTACTAGCTGGCCTGTAAGCATTCATATTTAGCAAAACATGATTGTCTTTAACTTCATATTTAAACCAAGCTGTTTATTTAAATGTAACGCTGAAGAACACTACATGCAGTATGGGATTGCTGCTTTACTCAAAGAACTGTGTAGCACAATTGTAGGTAGTACTTTCTCCTATATTGAATCATAATCCAATTTTGTTTCTAAGTGATTTTACAGTATAATGTTGACTTAATGAAATAAACCTTTGTCTTGATGAAAGTGCTTCATATCTTATACATACACATAGACCAGAGTGTTAGCATACTAGATAGAGGGACATCGTTAAAAAAAAAGACTATACCAACCACTTGCTAGTAAGTGAAAGAAACCTATCCGTCGGGAGCAAAATCTTCAGAAAGCCTAGATATGTTCCAGCAGCCTCCTACAGTCATTTTCCAGGTGCCAAACTGAAATTTCAGAATGGCTTTCATTCTGCTTTCCCACTGGTTTCATACCCTCTAATCTGTGTATTTGCACTGCAGGTGACATCCTTATTTGTCAAGGTCAACAAGTCCTGCCTCAGGCTCAGACATTGCAATTAAAGTTGCATTTACTGGATACACTTTATAGTTTTCAAACTGTGGAACAGTCAGTTTCACTTGCATATCTGTAACTATGTCAAATGATCCAAACAAAGTTTTTCCTTACTGTTCAGGTAATGTGATTCCTTGCTTGAAGGCACAGGTTACAGGTACAGGCCTGTACACTGTTTAGGGCTGTAGGAAACTTGCTGCCCTCTTCAGGAGCAATTCTAAGGTTTTGCTACTTTGGTGTTCCTCCATATGCTTCTCCTTCTTGGGAAATGGAAGTACGAACAATTTCTCCCACCACAATCCACAATGGTATTTAGTTGCTGTGTAGCATGACACACTGGTTTGTCTGCCTACCTTCATGGCAGTCAGAAGAGTTGCATTTTCTCAGGTCTGCCTGTACCAAGCAGTCTGAAACAATGATTTAATGAATGCTATAACCCAGGGTCGCTGCCAAAAGAACAAGTTCAGCTCTCCTCTCGTCCCTGGGAGGCTCTCTGAGGTTAGAGGAACCAGCAGGGACAGGGACAAAAAGAGAGTAATTTTAGCCTGGACCAGCTCCCCAGCTGGGTTCAGTATGTGGCTACACAAACACTTGTGTCCACACAAGGCAGGAAGGGCACAAAAGGGATGAAACAAGTGGTTGGGATGAGGGAAGATGAGAATATTCCATTTGCTGACACCGCAGGACTAAATTGTTTATGAACCTATGGTCAAAGTACCTCACTGGTAACCCAACACAGAAGTGGCCCCCACAGTCCCTGACCACCTCTGCTGGTCCAGATTCTTTGATTCTTCAAACCAGATGTCACTTTCCTGTAACTGCTGCTCACAACTGGGATCTTTTTTTAGCTCCTTCCACATGTTTCTAGCATTGTGGCTGACAAAACTGAAGTGTGTTGAAATAGAACAGTGCCGCTTTCCAGCTGCAACACTAACACTGGGGAAAGGTTAAATTTCAGGGCTTAGAAACCTTTTTGGTTCAAATTGGACAGAATTGTAGGAGGTTTTCATTTTCCAGGATACGTGCCCCTCGTGACCTTGCTTTCAACAAATGGCTGACCGGCCAGTAAGTGGTAGTTCTCACCACTTGCCTGATTTCAATGGCTTTGTTGCCATCATCTTTCTGTCCCCGACTGACCTTTATTGTTTCCTTCTTTTTTTCTTTTAAAGGTTATTGAACCTAGAAAAGTTGTATCAGGAGCGTGGCAGAAATGCCTGTTGGCCTGTAATCATAGTTCACCACAGGATGCAATCATACAGTTGACATTTACACACCCAATTGTGTCCATAATTATATGGTAAATAGTTCACAAAGGGAATGGTTTTGCCACTTAATGACATCTTTTTAGATGCTTATAAGGAAATGAAAGGGAGAATACGCTGGGATTACTTTTATTAAACATTTAAGTCGTCTTTTCTTGACAATCATAATAAAGTTTCCTAGTTCTGATGCTTGTTAGATGAGAATTTCAAAGGGCTTTAGAGGCATGAATGAAGTAAGGCTTTAAAGAATTCACCCCTTCAGTGAGATGGAAAACTGTTATCCTTCCTCTGCTGAAGGGAAATGCAAGCCAAAGGAATGTGAGGAAGATTTTCCAAAGCCTCACGTAGCAAATGAAACCTAGATCCTGAATAGACATTAATCTTGGACATATTAAAAAACCTCCAAGTATTTGCTCTAATTTGCTATAAATTCTTTCTTTTTTCTTCTTCTCTAGGCTTTCTTTGTTGACCACAATTCCCGCACCACCACGTTCATTGACCCCCGGCTTCCCTTGCAGAGCAGCAGGCCCACTAGTGCGTTAGTCCATCGGCAGCACTTAACAAGACAACGCAGCCACAGCGCTGGTGAGGTGAGTTGGATCTGCCCCTTCTCTATGGGAACCACCAGGCTTTTAGGATCCTCCTCTTTCACATCGTTCTGCTCACAATTCTGTGTTGTGAGGAGCATGAATCTTCTGTAAGCATATGGTACTCATCTGCAAAGATTTATTATTTTATTTGCTAGCTATTGTTGCCTTGAAATGTATGATTTCAGAGGAAAAAAATCAGACATGAGTGTTTCTCTTAATTTGCAGTAACCCCATTTAATCACAGGAGAGCATCTGGTTACAGATTACCAGATGCTGATTTTCACTGTCAAAATATGTATTGTTGTCTAGTGTGGTGTCTGCTAACTGTGTTGATGTAACTGCAAACAAGAGGGGGGGGATAAAAAATGCAAGTGTGTATATACAGCCAGATGTAACTGTATATGCAACTTTCCAAATAAGTATAAAAACTCTTAACACGTACAGACTTATCAGGCTGTTCTGTGCATTTGCATATATATTTCATCTCTGCTTTCTAAGTAGAAATACATGGAAAAAATATTTTGTTGATTTCTCACAGTGAACCATTTTCACTGGCAGTTTCTGTATTGTTGTAACTTGTTTTTACGTGTGAGCGAGTTTATGTACAATGACTTAGACTTCAGTTGTACTTTATTTAATCTCTACACTACTGTTGGCTGTAAGTTATCTTCTCAGGGGAGGGCTATTCCATGCCAGGAATTAAAAATAATATAATTTAGAGTGGTGAGAGAAATGCTCTGGTTCATGCTTCTTGTAGCTCTTTGTGGCAGGTGAAGTTCTGCCAGAGGTCTGTTTAAGAACAGGCATGAATCTTCTCTGCCACTTCTCTAACGGCTTCTGCTGAGCTGCAGTGAGTGCTATACCACTGGCTGCATATCTTGTTACATCCTGTGTGAACATGGTTTAGTCACCCACAATACTTTAGGCACATGCCAATGTATGGTATATTTTACACATGGTTTTAAATAGCCTTTTCCATCAATTTGGTGATGTGATGTAGTCAGCGATGTCTTGCAGCAGGCACGGAAGCTATAGCTGTTTAGATCTTCAATAGGTTAAAGCAAATATTTTGGTTGTGATTGATTTGTATTTGTTAATATTTGTTTTCTTAACTTTACTAAATACTTACTGAAAGTAGCTTTCTTTAAGCAGCATTCAGAAGTCCTGCACTTAAAATAGAAAGATTTAAAGTAAATGGTGCTGCTGAAGTTGTCAATACTGCAAAATAAGTGTAGTTAGCCTATATCATATATTGTATCATCATATATAATTGTAACTTGAATTAAATGGAAATATAATTCCAGATAGGAATCTCAGACATAGCAATTCAATGCAGTATTCCCATTCTAGGATTAATGATGTAATATTTATTTATGTGCATATGTATGAGTCCAAACACCACTTTCTTCTGTGCTTATGACTTAAATATTGCACAGTTGCAGCTGCTCTTCCTATTTTTAAACCATTGCATCAAGAAACTGTACATTATTGCAGAAGATGAATACTTAATGAAAAAAAAGCCCTCTCAAAATACTTCCTTTGGATTTGCCTTGCCACAAACATTGATGTTTTGAAGCCACTGACCCATTTTTTTACAAGGAGATGCTCTAAAGCAAATGTTAACCAGTGTAAGGAGTGCTTTTTAGCTAAAGCTGAACTGCAGCATGAAGCTGGAGCTAATAATAATGCCATTCATTTTCCAGCACAATGCCTACAGGAAATAGTTTTTTATTTTTCTGAGAGGGTATTATCAGAGAGCACAAAAGTCTTGGGACATGTCTCAGGACTTCTGCTTCTTCATGATTTCAGAGACTGGATTTAAAAGCAACCTTTAAAATGATTTGATATCTTGCAGTTAGATGGTATAGATAGCTCCGAAACTTGGAAGTGTAGTTCAAATTTTAGCCATTACATGTAGGCCAAGGAATTCAGAAGTAAACAAAGGTCCAGAAGGATGAAAAAGAGGTTGGACAAAATGTTTTATATAAACAAAATATAAAATACTGACACTGTAGAAATGACTGAAGCCTCAAAAAACAGGAGAATGCAGAAGTTGCCCAGACATCACAAATGCTACCAGGAACTATTTTACATTGTGGGTTTACCCTAAAAATTGTTCATATGCAACATTTGTAATCCCAGAAGGTGACCTCAAAAAAATCACAACAGTTTTACAGAATGATTGTAGGAAACATATTTTTACCAGTTTTGGACCTGTTTCCCTTGCCTGAATGTGAACTCACTTCTTGATCTTCCTGCTTCAACCACAAGCTTGTTTGCAGTTCAGATTTAGGGAAACTCCATTAATGCACAGAGGTAATAGATGTGCTAATGAAGGAGCAGATTTTGATTTTCAGAACCCTTGATACAGATAAAGATGTCCTTGAAGTACAGAAGTCCCTCTGAGGGAATCCTGGTTTGAATTCTTTAGTTGCTTTTCAGAAGGGGACTGTTATTTAAAAATAGCAATAAACTTTGATTTAGTTTTGATTCTTCATATTAATAGGCACAGTATACTAAATGATTTTTACTACTGAGTGTCATACAACACAGCTGATTCTTGCTGCAGTGGTTACTGGGGATAGTGATCCAGCAAAGCATTTACATACATGCTCAGTTTTAAGCCATATGAGTTCTCACTTTTATGTACCCAAGTACGTACACTGGCAGAGAGACAGTCATTGTGGTTATTTGTGCATTTTCAGGTCGGAGAGGACTCCCGTCATTCAGGACCACCAGTTTTGCCAAGACCATCTAGCACATTTAATACAGTCAGCAGAGCTCAGTACCAGGACGTGGTTCCAGTGGGTATGTCAGCATCCGGCCTCTTCTCAGAGAAGTTGTCCATGACTGAGTGTGTCATGTCAGCGTGCACTGCTGGGTTTTGCATTTGGTTGGGGTGGGTGGAAGTTGTTATTTGTTAGGATTACTTCTGTTCATCAGCATTTCCCAATTGTCCACTTGGAACCTGCAGGAGTAACACTGAAGTGTCTGCGCAGAACCAAATAACCGATGTAAAACTTCCACCTTCCTGTCTCACTCACTCTGCACGGTGACAGTTGAAGCCAGTGAGCCAGGTTGTGTCCTAGCTGGACTCCATGTATTCCTAGTGATTTTTTTTACAACTTCTGAGCATCTATTTTGGCAGGATTCCAGAAAGTGTTAATCAGCTTGGAATTAGTCATTAGCTTAACTTCTGTTACATACACACAAAGTTACTGACTTCTGTGCCACCAAGAACAGAATTTAGCTTATTGAATCGAACAGCTGTCACATTGTGCTAAACCAAGATAAATTAATCTGATTGACTATAACTGGCTCTTTGTACTGTGGCATGTGTACTTAAAAATCTCCGCTAATTTAAATCCTTTCCCTTGCCATGGACATAGTATGCATACACTGCTCAGCACTTAGTGTGAGGATGATCTGATACGGGTTTTTTCAATGACTCTAATGTATGAGAATGGATTTGAGTACAGTGCAAACCAAGGTCTCTGCAATTTTATTCTAGCAATGAATATTCTAGTTTAACTACAGCTAAGAGCATGACTGATAAAATATAATGGAAATTGCTGACAGAATTAGACGTGTTGAAAGTGGGAAGGACGTGTCACAATGAGATTTGGTTCATAATCAAGAAGCATGTTCCCTAAATGATAGTACAACTGGTAGCCTTACATGAAAAATTATTAGCACAATGCTGCTAAACTGTAAAGATGAAGTCTGCTGTCATTATTGTTCAGATCTCAGAAGGAATGTGGTCCTGTCTGTTGGTATCTCCTTGGTTCAGCATGGTATTTCTGTTGATGTTTTCAGCTTACAATGACAAGATTGTTGCATTTTTGCGGCAGCCCAATATTTTTGAAATTCTACAAGAGCGTCAACCAGAACTTACCAGGAATCATTCACTCAGGTAATAAAGTTAGTGAAGGTTGCTATTCCCACTTCAGTACTAAATGTTAATTAGAACTACTTCCTTCAAAATTGGCAGTGCAACATAACTGATTGTAGATGTTTGGGCTATTCAAACATTCATACAGCTGTGAAAGTAGTTCTTTATTGTATTTCTCTGTAACTCCCTGAAATAAGGTTTAGGAGAACTAAGGTAGTGTGCTGTTACCAAATAAAGGTACCTACAAGAAAATACTTGGAACAACTGGTGTAAGAGGTTTGCTTATGTCTTCAAAATGTGCCAAGACAGCTGGATGGCATGGCAAATGTGCCCAGTCGTTTAAGTATGTGTACAGCTGGGAGCATGAGGCAGAATGGCATTTGGTTTTGTCCTTGTCTTCTCAATGCAGCATTTACAGAAAGGCTGCCCTGACCTAATGATCTTGGAGGTAGTATTGTAGCAATAAGAATTTTTAGTGTTTCTCCAGAATGGGTATCTACAGGTTTTTGCATAGTCCAGTGAGATCTGACAAAGGATGATCTTCGATTCTTGTATTGTTCTTATAACTACCTTGTATGCTTAGACTAGAAAGGATAAAAAGTGAAATTCAGAAAGTGGCAAGATCCCTTTCAAAGTGTATGCCCCACAAAAACACTTTGATTCATATATTTAGGTGTAAAATATCAACTTGGGTATTAGTGACTAGGACTAAATGACTGTATCTTTTCTTCCTTGGACACTAAATGTAAAAAATATGGTTTGCTGGTTGTGGTCTGTTGTGTGCAGAGAGCTGCCAGCGCAGTGCTCTGTGTTCCAGATGCCTATCCACACTGGCTGGCATAGCAGTCAGCATTGCTTTTTGGTTTTTTCCGTTCTCGTAGTGTTACTTACTGATTCCTTTTCCTCCTGTCCTGCAAGTTCCCAAATTCAACAAGCTGCCCTGTTTTGCAGTTTCCCATTCTAATAAGTTTTGTGATGAGGCTTCTATGTTAAAGATTTGGTTTACCCTCTAAATAAGTCCTGGCTGACAAACCTGAAATGACATATTAGCAGAATACACGTTCTCTGGAAAATACAGAGAAAAGGAGGAAAATAAAGATCTACAGTTCTCAGCCTGTCAAAACAGGCATAGGAAGGGTGCGTGTTTGGGTGAGACAGAGTGGAAGTAATACTACAAGGGCTTTTCAGGAAGAGATCTTAAATGCAGTGTGGTATAAAAGCCTCGCTTTTAAAATCACAAATTGCACTGTAATGTATGGCTTGCATTTGTACAAAGGTTCAAAACTCAAAACAGACAGTACCTCTTTAATCAGTTCGCTTTCAGAATAGTAATGTCCTCCTGCAGGGCTCAGCCTTCTTTGCGTTCAGGGACACAGCTAGTGTGAACTTGGAAGGATTGATTTTAAAATTTGGGGTTTTTTTTTTTAGTGGTCAAATAGCTGTACTACCTGAAACAGCCTGAGCATTGAGGAGACGAGGGCAACAGGAGAATCATTCCTCAGAACAAATTAGCTTTTTAGTTGTAGTATTTTGCTGCACATGTGGACATGGTGTGGCAGGGGTAAAAAATGGTTTCTGAAATACAGAATCGTAACTCCGAGGTTTTTATGATACACTCTGTGCTTTTTCTTGTTGCTGTGGTGTGCATCGGTGCCTTATTTGCAAAAGATATTTTGGAGACCTTTTTGTTGCTTACGCAGGGAGAAGATCCAGTTCATCCGGACAGAGGGAACACCTGGGTTGGTGCGTTTATCCAGTGATGCAGACCTTGTCATGTTACTCAGGTAGGCACTGCTTCTTTCGATGCACATATGGAATATGCTGTGGCAGCTGCTGAGGAGCCTTTCAGTGAGGAGTGTGTGCTGATTTAGTGATCTAATGATTTCCCTTCAGTACTTGGACTTGCAGCTGGGAGAGCTACAACTCAAGGGTCAGATGTTTTATTTTCATCATGTTCAGTTTCTAGATGGTAGTTGGAGGTCATGTTTTTTCATAGGAGTGGTGGAGTGGGGTATTCTGTCTGAGGAAGGGTGAATGCAAGAGTGCTGTGCTTGTGATTTATATGGATTTGCCCAGGTCACTTTTTATTGTCCTGTTGCACTCATCTCTGATGTTCAGGTGATACAGTTTAGACCTCTTTGCAAGAATGTGGCTTCTATTGCATTAAGAATATGTCCGTTTAATTCTGTGATTTGGGAAGTCTGTATTTGTGAATGTTCATACTTGAGATGTGTTTTTACTACTTAGTGTTTTGCTGCCTCTTCACTGTGCTGTCAAGCATTTTCCCCTTTAATAAAGGAAATACTGTTGTAGCTTTCAAGAAATGGGAAGTTGCCTCTCTAATATTTTTTGTTTAACCAACTAACTCAAAATCAGGCACATTTTTTGCTAGAATTAAACCCTTGCATAAAGTGCATCAAGAAATTCACAAGTACGTTTAAAATTGAATCTAGTGAAACAGGATTGGCATTAGGAGTAGAATTTTGAGGTCAGGTTGCATAATCATAATCCTTTCTGGTCCCAAAATCTCTGAATTAATTACAGCTTAAAAAAAATAATCTCATTTTAAAGCCATGCTGAAACTTATTTTAAAGTGCAAATATTGTTTCTTAAAAAACCCTTCTAAGACTTTTGTTTTGATATGTGGAGATGACACAGGTTTTACACATTAAGATCTGGCTTCAGCTATTTGTTTTTAAGTAAAGATTGCATGAATGATTTTATCACTGCGCTTTGACTGGGTTTTGTTCCCTCTAGTGTTCTGTTAACAACAAAGACTGCTGATCATTTTTATAGGAGAAATAAAGCAAATTCAAAATTTTTATTGCAGTCTTTCTTTTGTAGAAAAGCCATAATCAGTATAAGTAATTTTTAAGAGAAAAGTATTAGTCAGTGTGTCCCTAGAATAACTTTATCACGTTCTTCAGACTTTTTCCTCTTCATCTACTTTTTTCCCCAAATAAAATACCTAACTGAAAAGCACTGATGAGGATTTTCTTCCAATTTTATTAATAATCTAATAGTACCATTGCTGCAATGATGTATTATTGAGTGTCGTGGTTTAAGCCCAGCCGGCAACTTGGACCCACGCAGCCGCTCGCTCACTCCCCCCCTTTTCCTTCCTCCCCCCACTCCCGGAGGGATGGGGAGGAGAATCGGAGGAATGTAACTCCCACGGGTTGAGATAACAGCTCTCCAGTAACTAAGGTATAATACAAACCACTACTGCTACCAATAATAATGATAAGGGAAATAACAAGGGGAGAGGACACAACCGCTCACCACCCGCCGACCGATACCCAGCCCGACCCGAGCAGCGATCTGGGCCTTCCGGGTAACTCCCCCCAGTTTCTATACTGGGCATGACGTGCTGTGGTATGGAATACCCCTTTGGCCAGTTTGGGTCAGGTGTCCTGCCTCTGCTTCCTCCTGGCTTCCCCTCCTCTCTGGCAAAGCATGAGACTGAGAAAAGTCCTTGGTCAGAGTAAACATTACTTAGCAACAACTAAAAACATCGGTGTTATCAGCGTTGTTCCCAGACTGAAAGTCAAAAACACAGCACTGCACCAGCTACTAAGAAGGAGAAAAAATGACTGCTGTAGCTGAACCCAGGACATTGAGAAAATGGTATCTATGTCTCCATTAGTTTCTTAAAATGTTGAAGGTTAAACCTCAAAACTGGACGTAGTTATTGTGAGCTTATTCTGAATACATACTAGTCTAAAATCAAAGGTAGGCTAAGTGGTGTACTGAGATAATGGAATTTCTTTACTTACCATTATTAGTAGATTTTTACTTTTAACAGTATCTTCTAGCAGGGTGTCATCATGACCCTTCTCTATGAAACCCTAAACCCCTTGCATTCAAATCACAATGACTCAATCTTCCTGAGGCTCAGACTAGCTTGGCTGGTTGGATGGCCTTGGGGAAGACCTGTTTCCATGCCTCTCCTTCTTCAGTTGGGGGGGAACAATATAATTGTCCTGTAAAGCACTCTGAGATGTAGTAAATAACTGGGTAAATCACTAATTCTGATATTTTTATTGCTTGGGAACACTGTACATTTTTTCACATCTCAGTTATTAAGTTGCAACTAACTAAAACCAAACAAACCAACCCCTATATGTTTAGGGACTGAAGGAGGTAGAATTCATCACATTTTTAAAAATACTCTAAGAATAGCATTATACTATATTTCAGATGTTAAGCAAATATATTTTTAAGTTTCTTCTTCTAAACATGTTGTTTGGTATACAACACAAAGCATCTTTTTACCTTTTAATTTCATCCTAGATTGGAATAGAATCATAGAATAGTTAGGGTTGGAAAGGACCTTAAGATCATCTAGTTCCAACCCCCCTGCCATGAGCAGGGACACCACACACTAAACTATGTCGCCCAAGGCTCTGTCCAACTTGGCCTTGAACACCGCCAGGGTTGGAGCATTCACACCTTCCTTGGGCAACCTATTCCAGTGCCTCACCACCCTCACTGTGAAGAACTTCTTCCTTAGATCTAACCTAAAGTTCCCCTGTTTAAGTTTAAAGCCATTACCCCTTGTCCTACCACTACAGTCCCTAATGAAGAGTCCCTAGCGGTTTATATTTTATCACATTTTCAGCATCAAATATAACTTGCAGGAAAACATGCATGGTCATCAATATAAAAAGAACTGCCAGAAATTGCCATTTTAAAAACTCTTGCAAAAATTTTTCTAGGTATTTCTTCACTGAAGAAACTTAGTAAGAAACAGCCTTTATTTGAACATTGATTTCACTGGTTGAGCTCTATAGCAAAAGATTGGCTTCTGATACTTCTGCAGCTCAACGTTTGCAAATAATTTTTATGTATCTCAACAGTTTCTTCTTACCTGTGTTGTGTTTAACATACTACAGACTTTGATATCAGATCCATTCTGGTATTAGATACTGTCTGCTTGGATTTGCTTGTGTCAATTTTGTAAAAAAGATTGAAATGTTAATATATATACAGGGACTGTACAAAGATGCAGTGATTAGGCTGCAAAATGTTATTGTTTATCTCTTTAAAGTTGTGAGTCAGTACTAGATGAAGCATGAAATAACTCAACCTGAACAGACTAGATGCTATACCTCTTCCTGCTGCTTCACAGCATGAGCATTAAAGGTAAAATGAAGAAATAACTTACGCCAACAAGCGTACTATTCAGTATGCTCAACATGTTCAGATGTGATTCTTAATCCTGGAGACTTAGAATCTTTATCTCTGTCTTGGTCTTTGTGCAGTATCACACATCTTTTTTTCTATGAAAGGGTGATTTAAGGTTATTGACATCTTTGTAATGAGAACACAAGTTAAAAAAAAAGAAGTGGGGAGGACAAATTTTAAAGGCTTATTAAGTATATTTTTACCGTGAAAACAAATACCAAATTATGTATAGCAGTGTATCCCAAAAGTAGTAATTACTGTTTTCTGGTACTTTCAAGATCTGATTGAGGGAATGGCAGTAAAATATTCTGTATCACTCTCAGTTTATTAGTGGAAATAGGCAAGTGACTACCAAAGAAAGCAAGTTAGTAACTAGAAATTTATTCCTAAAAAGTCAAAAATGCCATGCAAGAAACAAACACATTATTTCTTTTTTTCTTCTTTTTACCAGCTTGTTTGAGGAGGAGATAATGTCATATGTGCCGCCACATGCCTTACTTCATCCTAGTTATTGCCAGTCCCCAAGAGGCTCGCCGGTGTCTTCACCTCAGAACTCTCCAGGTAAGTTGCTCAGGCACAGCTTCTGCAAGGGCTGTGCAAAACCACTTCTCATGCTTGGTAAGGACGCGTTCCAAATCAGTAAAGTCAGGAGCACACTCCAGCTGCCTTCCCAGAAGTCAGAGAACAAAAGCCAATAGAATAATTGTTCGACTATAATATTTTGTTTGCTTTCCAAATTGAAATTCACGGCAGCCTAAAGCCGAAAACCTGCTATTGGGCAGCTGTAACCTGTTCCCTTTTGTGGTTCCTGACTTGTAGATGAGTAAAGTTATATAAGCTAAAGCACCTTCTGAGTGATCAGTGAGCTTGTCACTGCAGTACTTTCATTATGATGGTATCTGTAAGATAATGCGGTAGAGATAGTCCCATAATATAGTTTATATTATGCTGCATGTAATGATTTTCCAACAAGATCCAAGTTCTGTTGCTCCAGCAAAAACGTAGATTTATTTAGTCCTTGTTTGAGCAAAGTCAACAAGTGTGATTGCATTTGACTGTCAAAGTTGAATCTTTGCCTTGGGCTCAGAAGATATTTTGCTGGTAGAAAAGATTTGGTATATTACAACTTCAGAGACTGTGATTTTGTTCTGACTTGTAAAACTTGCAAACTTGTTTTTCAATGATGTGAAACAACTGAAGTGACTGCTTGTGCCAGGATCCTGATGCCTAGACAATTAAAAGTACGGATCTAATAACCGTACGTTAAAACAAGAGTGTTAATGGGGCTTTCGGGCAATGACAATTTTATGTAAAGTCAGATTGCTATCCCGTAACATGAGTTCAACAGGAAGCATACTGCAGCTGTCTGGAAGTACATATGTCAGAATGGAATGAAATTGGTATTTACATTTTAACTAAGTTGCAGGTCAGAACTGAGTTATGTCAAATATGGCCAGTTCCATTTGACCTCTGAAGGTTAAGTAGAGCAATTAGAAGTTCATAGATGCCTTATTCTTAGTTTTCTCAAGAAGATAATACTTAAGTAAAATAAAATCACTGCAGTGAGTTGGAAGTAGCTTAAGGGAATTTCTACAAATTTGAGAACAAAAGTGTAGATAAATAGAGAACATTTGGGATGTGAGCAACTCTAGGTAGTTCCAGACAATAAGAAAATTTTATCAGAAGTACTGTGATTTTTATGGGCATTTCCCAGTCCACAGTCATAAAACCCTTTGCAAGAAACCTGATTAATATCATTCATAAACATATCCTGGGTGGTAGCTTTTCCTGTTGCTGGATGTAAGCCCTGTGTAGGACCTATTCAAAGAAACTATGCAAATACCTTAATGATCTTATGACATTCTGCAAAGCAGCAAAATATAAGGAAATACCAATTTAATTCCATTCTGATATGTTGATATTGATATTTTCTATACATCTATGGTTTAGATAAAACACTTTTGTTGAAAAGAAGAATAGAATCTGCATATATGCATCTTATTTGCAACTGCAAACCTGGCAGGTTGTGGCTTTCAGAGTTAAAATTTCTTCTTTACTAGTACATGCACCCAGGCATGATGGGCAGGACTTCACTCCAACAAAGTAATTTCCAAATGCATTCAAACTTTAACATGCAATATTCTCATCTATTCCTCAAAGTAGCAGCACATAGTAAAGGATGAACAGTGACGGTTTTAGTCCCTTTCTCCTTAAAATTGTAATCTCTATTCTATTTCATAGAAAAATATAGAGACCATTGAATCTCCCTTTCATTCTGCAAGTATGCATGTTTGTATTGGTGTACAAACGACTTTTTTGATGAGAAGCTGTAAATAGCCCATAATTTCTGTGGGGGCTCTGTGTCCCTTTTGTCAGCTAAACTGGCTGTGCTGCACTGCACGAGGTTGTGTGTTAAGGATCCATTGTTCAAATCAGTCACAATCAGTTGTACTTTCTCTTTTGGGAAGGATGAATAGTCATGAAGCTGCTCTTTATATCTGCTTTAGAATATAACCTCCTTGAAAATCAAATCTGATTATCACATCACTAGTGTTTTTTAGCTCTTCCATTAACATCTTTTGTTCCCGAGGCGGAAGTAATCACTATAATTGCCCAGGAATTTCTTGGCATATGCATCTGATTTGCAATGAGGACTTGTCATGTGCTGATAAAATAATATACTGCTGATTTTTGAACTGTGAAGTAATGTGTTACCAGATTCTCTCTCAGCAAAAACTTCCTTCAGGGGTTAAGATTAAAATATGCTTTTGTTGCATTTGTTTGGTGACTACATTTTTGTACCTACTTTGACCCAAAGCAAAATAAACAAAGTAGGGGGAAAAAGCCAGTAATTGAAAGGCTGTTTACAGTTTCAAGTTTCTGTGGGTTTTCTAGAGAATTCAGCTGAATGTACCATTAGAAGCCCTTGGTGCTCTCAGTAAAAGAGGATAACCAGTACAGATTAATGACCGTGATTTATTTTCTAAATGGGTCCTGCATGTTCCCGTTGGAGCTCTAAGAATTCCGTGACATTTTCTATTCCTCCTACATGCCATGCTAAGCCTATAACAAATGGCAAGTGTCTTTCTGGTCAGACAGGTCTTTTAAAGACCTGTAAATGGCATTCACTGTTAATACTGATCTCACTTGTTCTCCCTCTGATCTCTGCAGAGAGATTAACTCTACAGCTTCTTTCAGCAGCCACTTCCGCAGGATGTGCTCGTCGCCTTTTCCGTCAGCCCCATATGCTCTGTGGCTAAGCAAGCTGCTCTCTTTTCCCCTCATCTCTGCCCACAGGCTGAATGAATACATATTCTCTCTCTTTCATAATCTGAAATGTTAAGTTCTCATGCCTTCACCCATATAGCAATAGATGCTTCTGTGTTGGCTTAGTTTCATAAAGGGAGCCAAAAGAAAACTCACATAAGGAACTGTCACTTAAAAGACAGAAGTCTACATATAAGTGTTTCTAAACTGTTCATTTTTATTTCCAGTGCATTGTGGGCCTGTTGGGTGACCACCAGTTGCACATAAGTCATTGGCAACTTGTGTATAGTGTAGGGCATGAGAAACTTTAAACACCCTCTGATTTTTTTGTGGTGCTGTCTACAAAGCCTTGCAGGGGAAGAATTTAATGTTACAAGAACTTGGGGTGAGAAAATGAATGTAAAAGAACTAGGATTAACTGCTGCTTTGGCACGCTGTCTTGCAGTCACGTCAGCTGAAGTAATTTATCCAGGGAGACAGTGGAAGATCTAATGGTTGTAATATTTAGAACAGATCTGATTAAACACCTAATTTGTATATACAAGACTTGTACATGCAGATGTACGTGTGTATGGGGTATGCCAATTTTTTGGCATACAGATCTCATCTCTCCCTGCTTTTAAGACCTTGACCCTTAAAACCTAGGGTTTTTTAAAATAAATTCACTTAGATGACCATCAGGTATGTGCCTGGAGGCACCATGTGTAGAGGTACACAAACGTAATGGTAGTCTTCCCATTCTTCCAATACTTTTTTCCCTTGTACTGCCCCAGGGAAAAGTTTCTACTAGGGAATTTCCAAAAGTCTTCCGTCTTCAGCTTGATGTACTCAACAGGGCACAGCAGAGTACAGTCTGTTTATGCTTCATTTCTGAGTTCCTGTTTTTCCTGATAGTATTAAAACCAGGACAGAGCAGAACATTCATTTCATGAGCTGTTTTAAAGGTTAGACATAAAGTGTACTTGACAAACAAAAGTTAAGTCTTTCCAATCATGCTGGGGTTTCAATCCATCTGTTGCATTGACCTGGATTTGCTCTTTTGAGACTTACTTTAGAAAGGTGATACTATTGGAAATGAGCAACTAAAAAGTCTTGGATGCACAGCAGATTTGAAGATACACAGCCTTTACTCTTTATAAAGGTGACCAAACCAAACACCTGCCCTGCCTTTTGCTGTTGAGTCTTTTCAGAACAGGATGGGACATCGATCAGCTCATGTCACTACAGCTCATTTTTTGCTTACTCCTTCCTGCAGGTACTCAGCGTGCCAATGCCCGAGCTCCAGCTCCTTACAAAAGAGATTTTGAAGCCAAGCTGAGGAACTTTTACAGGAAGTTGGAGACTAAAGGATATGGACAAGGCCCAGGAAAATTGAAGTATGTTGAAGAATCTCATGAAACTGGATTTGTTTCTCAGGCAGCTTGCCTTGCCTTGCACATCTACAAGCTTCTTCCCAGTAGGAGGAATGCAGATGTTATGGTTACCCTTGCACTTGTGGAAATACAAAGCCTGTCATAAAAGACTTAGTGCCAGCATGTGATTCATAGCAGAGGATACAGCAAGTTCTGAGCCCTTTTTCTATCTTTCCTCTAAGTTTATTTTTGTACAAACAATCTTACCAGTACAGTGCCAAAAAGCACTTTGGGAAGAGGCATGCAGAACAGGAGGCATCTGAATTCTTCCATTACAGCAAGTGCTGATACAAACAATTGTATTTTCTCATGTCTTTTTTCCACTGAAAAAACTAGATAGGCTTATTTTTCGTACATAATTGCCTGTCTTGATATCACAGTCCTCTTTAGTAAAGAGGACTCATAAAATCAAATGTTATTAAATTCTAAGGATTGCCTTAAAAAGCTGCTGATATTTTTACTTCAGCACTCAGAATGCTGGAGTGCTCGGAGCAAGGTCTTCCCTCCATTTATTTGGTAATTTAGTGATTTCATAGATGTTAAGGATCATCATCAAAAGATACTTTCATAATGGTCTTGTGCCAGCTCTCCAACTTTCATAGATACTCTCATAGTAGCCATGAGGCATTAGAACTCTTTTTAACCATTTCTTCTGTTAGAAGGTAGGTTTTTTGGGTGGTTGATTATGTTTTGTTTTGTTTTATTTAACCCAGCCAGTCACTTTTTGCAGGCATTTGTGCAGAGCTCAGACTTCATTTCTGTGGGCTTGTTAAAAGTCTTCCACAACGGAAATGGGTTTAAAATGGTGTTTAGACAGACTTGAAAGGCAGTGCTTGAACATTTTCTGCCTGTAATGTAGTGAAATCACAAACACTTAAAGATTAATCTATGAAATTTAGTCACGAATACTTGGGCAATTAGCTGGTGGAAGAGGATGGCATTTGCTGGCCTTAAGATCCATTGCATTTCTTGCACCTCTTTTTCCTGACCTATTTGCCATCACATCGTGGCTTTTTAAGCAGAACAACAGCTTGATTTTTGAACAGACATTTTGTCTCTTCCTTCCCCAGGCATACACCGATCTGCTCCTTTTTTTTCAAACCAGGACCCCAGCACAACTTGCATACTGCCTGGGTCCTCTTGTTGCCCAGGTACCTTGCCAGTTCCTGGCCTCTCCACTTCTGTGTCCTCTGCAGAGTCAGTGCAATCACTGAGCGATCTCTGCACAAACAGTAAGGCCTGCAAGGGCTTTGCAAGAGGCTGTGTGGGGAGGTAAGCTGCCTCTCTGCAGGCAGCAGCTCCCAGCTTCAGTCTGACTAACTGATCAAACGCACACAAACGGCAGTGTTTGAATGTAAAGCAAGCGGCATTTCAGGAAACTAATTAAACAGTTTTTGGCAGAAGATAAAATGTTTTAAGTAAGGAGGATTCTTTCACCCCTTATTTTAGATCTTAATGGCACTTCCTCACTTTCACAATTTTTCTTTCAGAAGGTACATTATGTTTTCACATGTGAACCTTCAGTCTGGTTTTGGACAAACAGTTGCCATTCCTTCTAGACTTTTTGTCCTGTCACGCTATGCCGGGGATAATGTAGGGATGTGTGATTCTGGAGTTACTGTTCAGTGACTTTGCCACAGTTTTGTCTTTTTCCTTGTTAAGAGATTGCTTTTTACAGAAAAGGTTAGATGCTTGTTTACAGAAAGACTGATTTACAGTCCCAGCCTTATGGAAGGATCTAAACTTAATGAACATGCCCACCTTAGGACCTTACCCACTGAAGCCTTTGATTTAAGGAAGATCTAGGGTATAAAAAAACAAAACTGCACTTCTTCATATGAGAAACATTTTGTTGAAATCTAAAGCAGATCCTTGAGGGACAGAAGCTGCCTGATTGATATCAAACTATCCAGCAGAAATGTGTCTATGAAGTCACCCTGTTACTTTCAGTGTAAATAGATGTTTCCAACCATGGCTCATTTTCATGAGTTGCTATTTCAAAATGATTTTCTCCTCAGATTAATCATTAGGAGAGATCACTTGCTAGAAGATGCCTTTAACCAGATCATGGGCTACTCAAGAAAAGACCTGCAGAGAAATAAACTCTATGTCACGTTTGTTGGGGAAGAAGGGTGAGTAGAACAGGGAAGTAAATGTGATCTGAAAACTCTGTGTGTCTTGCAGCTGCTGCTCACCAAACATCTTGTGGTCTAGAGTGAAAAGAGGAAGGATTACATTCAGGAAATGCCACATACATAAGCCTAGAACATACAGCTGTTCAAGATGACTTTTTAGGCATTTTGAAATGTAATGTATCCTGCCTTTGCAGAAGTAATGCAAGTGTTCATGTGAATTTTCACAATAGTTGGTGTGTGTTTTAGAATGTTGCTGGGAAAGCAAAGAAAAAATAAACAACTTTCTTGTGTTATTAATATTTGTTTCTGTCAGTGCTGACATATCTCCAGTGCTTCTTAAAAGACAGCTGCCATTTTTTGGAGGGAGGGTGCTCCAAGAGTAGGCTAGAAACTTAATCCTTAATTCAGCTCCTGTCTGAGGCAAAGGGAGCTGAAAGCCTGCAGTTCTACAGGAGGTGCTCACTGCCTTTCCAGGCCAGGCCCTGAGTCACCAATAAAAGCAGCTAGGCTGTTGCTACTTGTCAGATAAATACAAATATTCCTGATGTTTCAAAGTCCCTTCAGGGAATGCTCAATCTGTGTCTAATGAAAGTCTAACATGTTACAGGTTGTGAGATTGCATTGCAAAGCAAGATGTGGTTAGATTTTCCTTGCAAGTGAAACTGGAACAGTGTACGATTTGCCTCTTTCATCTCTTGATTTGTGACCCTGTTGTCAGATCTTGAAGCCTTAAGCACAAATATTTTTATTGATACATTTAATGAATCTATTTGTAAATACATTAGCAATTTTATTCCTTGGTATTTAGGAAACTGCAGCACACAGCTCTTGGAGTGCAGTAGTGTGCATTATTGCCATGCTATGCATGAGTCTTGAAAATAGCTAAGTTGTAATAGAAACATCTCATACAAGATTAGATTAAATTAATCTGTCTTTGAAAACCCCTAAATCCGGTTGTTTGTTTAAAGTTCACCGTGAAGTACTTAGTGTTAATAAGGACTCACAGAAGTCTTAGAATAATGTTGACAGCTGAGAGCCAAGTGTGGACTTGTTCTTATAAATACTATCACCATGCTGTCTGAGGAAAAGCTCAGAACTGGAATGACAAGGCTGGTGCGGGATGACATTACACTGTATTGACAGAGCAGGGTGGGGATGCAGGTATGAGGCCTGTTTTATACAGCCCTACCAACCTTTACTTTCACAGCTACAACCTCCACTCAGGTTTAAAAATAAAAGAGGAAATTTAAAAATCATATATAAGATAGAGATTGATCCAGATATTCTGTCTCCCGTCATCAGTTGTCAGTCTTTCGCATTTCATCATTCCATATAGCAAGAGGAAGAGTGACCTGGAAATGGAGGTGACACATCCTCTTCTCATTCTAGCCAAATTTACACAAGACTCTGTTTGTAATGGAAAAGAATGAGTTAATTAAGAGCAAAGTAAAATTAAAATGACGTCAAGTGTCTATTTAGAAATGTGTTTTGAATGAAGAAGGGATGTGTGCAAACTATTGTTCCATCACAGATAGTGCAAGGATATGTATCAAACTTCATTTGGCTAGGTGTGGAAAGACAGGTCAGGGTGGAGGAGAGGAGAATGAGGAGGAGGAGGAATACTGAAAGTTAATTGTTTCCTATTTGCTCCTCCTGTTTTAAGTTTGTAAGTGGGAGTTTGCTCTTGGATTTCTTTTCCAAGAGGGAAAGAAATGCATTACCCATTACCTGGTAATGGGTATGAAATCCTCAAAAATGAAAACATTTTAGTAAGTACTGATTTATTAGTTTTTAAATTAGTGAGACAACTCAGTTATTGCTGCTCATATGATTTTTATCATAAGTCTCATACTGTTGGTATCTTTCTTGAACCTTCAATTTCATGCAATTGTTTAACGTTTTTACATTCATACTTCATGTGGTGATATATGAAGAAAATTTTGATACAAAGAGTATGGTTTCTTAAAGTTATTTCCCTAAGTTCTGTTAACTATTAGCAGAAGCTGCTTTGCATTTGAGAGTGGTAAATCTGAAGTATTAATGGTGCTTCCTAGGAGACGTGAGTCATGTTGCCAACAACATATTACTCTGGTCCTGAATACCCAAATGCCCCACAGTTGCAGCTGTTGTGTGGTTGCATACCTCTTGTATGAAGTTTTCTCACCCTTGTGCCAAGCCTTTAATTGTGGGATAAATCTGACTGGCAGTGCAGGACTCTCATGATTGATTTACATAACGTGACTCATAGTAACTCTGTGTACAAAAGGAGCTGTATGAAATGGTGGGTAGTGAAGCACACAGGTTCTATCCTATCTTAAGATTTCACAGTGAGTCTGATTATCCCAGAAGTTTGCAGGAGTCTTCCAGATGAGCTTTTACTTGATCCTGTTGTTTGTGCCAAGATTAAGATCCAACAGTTGTCCACGATATCAAACCATTTGGGGTTTTTGTTTGGGGTTTTTTCATGCAATTTGAACATGGAATCTGCCCTTTTTGCCAGGGTAAGGATCTGTTTCAGTATGTCACTTCTGAAGCTTTATGAAGTGAAGTGCTTCCAAATGACTGAAGAGGAAATGTTTTTCATTCACCAGATGAAAGAGGCTTTGTCCTCAACTTGATAATGGTACCTAGCTTTTACTTTCCTGACAACTTCATCCTCAAAAAACAACTCTCATCTATGTTTCTCTTCTGTAAAAGTTCATGAGCTAATACATGAGTAACAGAAGTCCTATGTGAAAGCTGACCCTCTCTGTGATACTTCTGTCTGTGCATTGTTCTAGTACTAAATCAAGACCTTCTTAGAAGTCTCAACCTCCAGAAGATATATCTTTATATCTGTTTATCAGGATTATGATCATCTCTGTTCCCCACAGGAAAATCCCTGATATTCTGTTTTCCAACTCTACCAGAGCACTAACTTCATACTTAACTCATTTCACTGGTGACCTGCAGCATAATGTCAAAATTCAGTCTCAGTACTTTGTCAGCAATGAGTTTGTTTATGATTCAGGAAGAAGAGGTTATTTAGATGCCATTAGTATTGGAATTTTGAAATAACAAAAAAAACCCCCAACCACCTCCAAAGGAAATGCACTCTCCAAAAGACATTTAAATGCACTCGTGTTTGGAAGAGAGACAAGAAAACTTAGACAAAGAAAGATAAATTACTGGAGTAATCGCAGATTATATTGCTTGGGAAAACTGAAATACTATCTTTCATATTGTCCGATAGTTGCAAGTCTGCAAAGACAAAATATGACCATTGTTCATTTTCATTCTTAATTTGTCAGATGCATAAAGGTCTCATGTTGTCTCTTTTTATGTCTCCTCCTCCCCCCTACCCTCAATTATTTGGTTATATTCCTGTGGCAAAGAGGCCACTACAGCTGGAGCCAAATTTTTTTATGAGAGCAGCCCGCATGGAGCACTTCATTCCAGTCCTCCCAAGCTGTTCCATTTCAGAATAGCCCCATAAGGACTTCACATACCTTGGCATTAAGCAATCTGCAGGATAAGGGTTCTGGTTAAAATCATAGGAAATTTTAATTAAAATAGTGCATAAAGAATGTAGATTCAAAATAGCATTTCTTTGCACACATGAACACTTTATAGTAATGTCAAGTTTCTCTTTAAAGGTTGGACTACAGTGGACCTTCAAGAGAGTTTTTTTTCCTGGTGTCTAGAGAGCTCTTCAATCCATATTATGGTTTGTTTGAATATTCAGCCAACGATACCTATACAGTACAAATAAGTCCCATGTCTGCTTTTGTAGACAATCACCACGAGTGGTAAGAATGATTTTTCTTTGTTTTTCAGCTATGCTTTCTGTTGTTCCCACTTGTAGACAACTGCTCATATCCGCTCAAACACAGAAACCAGAATCTCATCTTTCTAACCAGCAGCAAAATAGCTGCATTTCTTCTGACTTCCCTGATTTTGTTTTCTCTTGTGGTTTTAAATTATCTTATTTCTCACAAGGTCAGCGAAACTTATGATTTGAAGCATGCACCATGGGATTGTCTCACGATACAACTCTCTGCATTCCTCATACATTAGAAGTCATTTCATGAAAGCAGTATTAGTCTCTTGTGCATTAAAAAATAATGAAAGAAACATTGGCTTTTTGTCAACTGAGGAGATTAAGGGAGATTTCAAACAGGTGTTACTATATTTTATTTGTTTGAGTCTTCCTAAAGAGTACAGGGGTCTCCTCAGTGGAAAAAAAACAACTTATGTGTCGGATGGAAATCTATGAAGGTATCTTAATAAGGGGTCGGGGAGGACTGCTGATTACACAGCTCTTAAGCAAAGTCTGTACATACACACGTCTAAAATAGTTATCAAGGATTTTTACAAAATTCCATTTTCACAATTATAAACCAGTTTGAATCACCCTCAGTTGATATAAGCCATGGCATCACCAGAAGTCTGTAAAGCTGTGCTTTGTATATTAACAGATATGTCTGTAGTGTGGGTAGTTAGATTACGATAATAGTAGAATGGCAACTGCTCATCTGTGTAGGACAGATACGTACTAAGTTCTTATTTATTGGAAGCCACTTATGAAGAATGAATATCACAAAGGAATCTCATTACCAGTTTTAAAAATTAATAGAAAATGAAATGGTTGGCTGCATCCAGTTGAAGCAATGTACCAGGTGAACTCCAGTAATGCAACAATAAATGATATATGCTATATTGGAAAAGCAAGAAGAGTCTGGCAAAAAGGGGAGAAAAATCCTTACATGCTATGCAACTTCTACCAATATGTTGTATTAATCTCTGGCTTCTGCAGTGCTGGACTAGAGACCTTAGGGGGTAAGGGAGGCATGACCCCCTCTTCTTCTGGGATGCTGATGCCAGTGACACCACTGGTCTTGTACAGCCTCGGGGGAATTCAGAAAATGCAGCTGTGACAAGCTGTTATACATGGTAGGGGAAGGCTTTGCATGTCATACCCTTATCTTGCAAACCCAGTGTACAGACAGCTACAGTAAAGCCTTAATCTTTCCAAGAAAACTGTTGCTGGTGATGCATAATCAGTTTAAGAATAATTATTTTATTTGAAAAATAGCACTACACTTAAATCTAGTTCCAGAGATGTTGAGGATTTTTCACAATGGATCTTTATTCTCTTGGGAATATTCGTGAAGACTCTACTATTTCAAAATTGCTGCCATCTGATCTGAAATCTGTTCAACTCCCTCCCACCCAACCTTCTTACATACCCAATAAAATGAAGATAATAGGGGGAGAGAGGGGAGAAGAGGAGGTTGTTTAGATCCTGTTGACATAGGGCTGGAGAGCACTGTGATACATCAAAAAGCTTCCAGCCATCATTCATGAAAATGTATATAGGACTCCATAATCACCAGTCAGAAGAGGGAGCAAGGACCCACCGGAAACAGAAAAGACAGACAGCAAGAACTGTCGGGCTGAGGAAGGATAGAAAAACCTTTGGCCTCCCAGCAACATGAAAACAAGTTAATCCTATATGGGATGTGTGGTGGATATACTTCTGTGAGAGGCTAGTCTGGCAGGGTCGATTGTGTTAATATGGATTTGACATTTTTGGGAAGTTGCAATTTTAGGTATCTGAGGGATTTTCCACACCCTGCAGGCTTGTGGGTTTTTTTCTGTGCCTTGCTGAGAATGTAAAAGAAATGCAAGAAAATAATTAAAAAAACCCAAACACAAAAATTACCACAATTTATACACAGCTTTCTGATCTAAAAATGCTGTTTGGAAATACATGTAAGTTTTGATGAGAGAGCAGTCTACAAACAACAAAGCTTCAGTATGATGATTGTAACTCTTTCTCTTCCAGGTTCAGGTTTAGTGGTCGAATTCTTGGTCTTGCTCTGATACATCAGTATTTGCTAGATGCCTTTTTTACACGACCTTTTTATAAAGCCCTCCTCCGAATGTGAGTAGAATTGTTCTGTCTCCTTTTTTGTTTGGTTCCTTCCCCATGGACGATGCTGTTTTATGTATGGATAAATTATGATTTATCATCAAAGAAGACAGGCCTTTTTTTTAAAATGTAATAATTTCATTTCAATCCAGGACTTCTTTAAGATGAAAAAGTTTACTTGTTTCTGCTTATGGTTATTAGGTGATGGTTATCTAATAACTCAAAATGTTCTTTCTGATCAGTATGAAAACCTTGTATTTTGTTTTCATCATGTTATCAACTTTCTTCTACAAAATCTTACATTTGAAGATGTACAATGAAATGCTGTGGTTTTATTCCTGATATTAATAGAGTTCTTACTCATTTGTCTTGTAGTGACTCACAGGATAGGATATGAATCACCTTGTAACTTAGACTGCAAGACCCATTCTCAGAGGTAGACTGATTGTTTCAGCCAGAGCAGGAGTAGTAGTTCTGAAAAGAAAGTATGAAGTATATCAGAATAAAGCTCCATAAAATGGAGATTGCAAACAATCAGAGCTGCACTTGCACATGAACATTGCTCAGCATGTCTGGAATTTTAAGACCTAATGAACTTAATGCTTCACTTTTTGTCTTCCATTTGAAAGCTGCTTTGAGAAGTCTGGAAGGATATTTGTTGTATAAAACATCATACATTCTAGTAGTGTGGAGTAATGCATCCATTCCTATTGTATATATATTTTAAAAGTACCTAAATGCTAACAGCATCATTTTGATAAGAATGAGGACTTAGCCCAGATGGACTTCAATACTAAAATGTTATGACTGCCTAATTGAATTAATAATTTAAATTGGTCGTTCTCTAAACAGTAAAATTAAAAATGAGGAGTGGCCACCTTTGTACACAGCCTGATTCATGCAACTTTCTCATCTAAGCCCTGGACCTTCACTTTCCTCAGAAGTGATGAGCCATCCAGTCTACCTCTGCAAATGGGACACTGCCCAATCCATCGGCTTTGATGTAGGGGATGTTACTGCAGGGTGTCACTTACACTACACTTGAGCATCCGTCTTAAGAGTACAAAGCTTTCTTCAGACTTTTTATGGACCCAAGGATATAAGCAGGCAGGGAACCCAGCAGCTAAAAAGCCCTTTACTTAATGAATAGCCCGTGTCCTGTTTGACAGAACAGGATTTAAGGAGTTAGAAATGGCAGAAATTGCCATGTTATTAAATATTATTAACTGATGACATGTTAAAGCATGGAGTAGTAACTGTTAAAGACAGCAAGGGGAAGTTGGCTTTACATGTTGGATTTGTAAAAGGACCAGGTAAGGGGAAATACAGCAAAAGGTAGATATTTCTGGGTAGACAGGATCTCTGAACAGACTCCTCCACACAACAAGGAGAAGAGAGAGGTGGCAGTGTAGTCACATAAGTAAAAAAGCTAGTAGTTGCTCATTACAAAACATTCCCATTTTTTGTATGATTTGCATTTTTTGTCTCTTTCACCTGTGTATTTTCAAAATTCCAAAATATTCTTCACAGGACACATGGGACAGACTCAGCATAAGCTTAAAATCAGTGTGTCTTCAAATTAATAAATTCTGGAGTTTTGTACACTAACAAAATCATTTTGTGCTATACAGTAACTATTACTAGGCAGATAAATAGAGATTTGAAGTAATGTCTTCTTTATTCTATTGATTCTTCTCTTGGTTCCCATTCTTAGTCTGATTTTCAGGACTGTCCTATCTGAGTTTGGTTACTGACCACACACTACTGCTGACATCTGTATTTGTGTGTTTTCTTCTTCCTTATGTTAGACTCTGTGACCTGAGTGACCTGGAATATCTCGATGAGGAGTTTCACCAGAGTTTGCAGTGGATGAAAGACAATGATATACATGACATCCTAGATCTCACGTTTACTGTAAATGAAGAAGTTTTTGGGCAGGTGTGCAAGATTCTCAATTTCATTTCCCTTGTGTATTCTACTGCTAGGGAAACATTTTCTGGGCTCAAGAATGATGTGTCCATGCTGATTTGCACATGTTTTTATAAAATTCTGTTTGATGAAAACAGTGTTGAAATCTAAGGACAAATTGTTATTTGTAACTGGTCAAACATGTCTTTCTGGTTAAGGAGATTTTCTGGAGTGTATCTGAAATACCAGAATCTTGGATTGCTCTGCTGGAGATAGTTTACCTGAATTTAACTGCAGCAGACTTACCATTCAGAGGTATTACAGCGTCTTTGTTACAGTATTATTTAGAAGACTTCAGTAGAATAGTCACTATAAAGATTTTTTCTCCTTCTCAGTTTATTCTTTATACTAAATATGAAGATTCTTAGTCTAACTGGGATTTCAAATATTATTTTAGCCAAAAAAAGCTTTGTTGTATGTTCTGTTATTTCGCATATTCCAGTTTACTAAAGTCATTCCTGGCTAGTGCTCTTGAGGAATTACTTCAGCTTAAAAATATACATTATTACAATTCTTTCTTTTGTCTTTATAATACTGTGTTGTCTCTTGGTAATTTCGTTTTCCTAAGATCACAGAACGGGAACTAAAGCCAGGAGGTGCCAACATCCCGGTCACTGAAAAGAACAAGAAAGAGTATATAGAAAGAATGGTGAAATGGAGAATTGAGAGAGGTGTTGTACAACAAACAGAAAGCCTGGTTCGTGGTTTCTATGAGGTACAAAACTCAAAAATGAAATGAAATTTATTTTCTTCTTGTATCCACCCAAAATATTTTTCTCCTCATCTACATTTCCCAAATACAGAATCCAAAAAACCAGATATATCTATAAGCAGAAATGTCCCTACAGATATCAGGGGAAGTGGGGAGAATAAAGAAAAAAAGTTAGTCATTGACTTGAACCCATAGTTATACATCTACTTTAAACTGGAAAGTACTATGGATCACTCTCTGTATGATTAGCAGTGAATACTTGCTAAAGTGACCCATCTGTTTCCTCACTGGGCCTTTGAGGTTTTTGTGTGCATGCTGCACCATGTCACACGGTAGAATGAGTGTATTTTAAGGTCTTTTCTCTCTCCTGTTTTAACATAGACAATTAAATTAAATGTATTGAATTGAATGTATTGAATTGAATGTATTAATTTACCCTGAAATAATTCAGTATTACGTGCCAATAAAATTCTCTCCCAATCACTGTGATCCTCTAACAAAACTAAATAGAACTGAGGTATAAGAAAAAGAAGTCCATTTACTTGCCTTTAAAAAGAAAGAAAACTTTTATCCTTTCCATTCACGAAAGAAATGTGGCCTGATAAATGTTTTAGTGACAGACAAGCCTTTTATGGGGAGGCAATAATTGATAAATGAAGAAATGTGCTACGCATTTTATTTCCTTTTACAGGTAGTTGATGCGAGGCTCGTGTCTGTATTTGATGCCAGAGAACTGGAACTGGTTATAGCTGGAACAGCAGAAATTGACTTGAGTGATTGGAGAAATAATACAGAGTACAGAGGAGGTAGCCTTAATTTTGAATTGTTTACTGACAATGCTGGGGGCCCTGGGATTGCCCAGATTCTGAGACACTAAAGGACCATCCCCTGAAATACACCTGTAGTATCTTCTGAACTTCTATGGTTAAGCTTGCATTGAGAAGGTTCAGAAGGTAATTTGTCCACTGCAGTTTGCTTCATTGCTTCCCCATGCAGCTCTTCCCTTACTGTTCTTGTCTGGGCAGCATAACAGAGCAGTCTTCTCCACAGAAATCACTGTGCTCACCTGCACACTAGTAGAGTACCACCCCTACACTGGAGACAAATGGAATGCTAACCATTCTTAATGGGATCTACCTCTTTTCCACTCTTAAAGAAGACAGGAAGTTAGAATTAATCCCAGTGACTGCAGGCTGGCAGTTGAGATAATTTGAGAACAATGGAAGATTTGGGAACTACTTTTGAGAGAGAGAGTTGCAGCATCATTTGTAGCTTTAGATACATAAGAAGCACAGCATTGGGATATTGCGAGATCTGGCATTCCTGTTAGTGATTAATTAGTGGAAGAAATGCTTCCCAAAGAGATGCCACTCCTTTTTGTCACAGTAAATTAATTCTCTGCCTTTAAGATTTTTAAATATTATAAGACTATTCTCTCACCTCCTCTGTTTTGCTGCTATCGGATAAAAAATATGGCATTATTGTGACTAGGGCCAAACTAGGAAAAGCTTATTAACTATTCTCTCAACCACTTTTTGTAGCACGTAGAGGTATAAAGGCTCTTTTTATTTTAACAGGTTATCATGACAATCACATTGTAATTCGGTGGTTCTGGGCTGCTGTGGAGAGGTTCAACAATGAACAACGACTAAGACTTCTACAGGTGAGGAATCAGATGATCTATGTAAAAATAGTGCCCATCATTAAAATTAGATTCTAAACTAGTCCCACCCAGGTATATGACATCCAAAATTGATGGTGATGCTGGCCAGCAGGAAGAACCTGACAATCCTCAGAGTCTTACTGTAATAATTTTAAGTGACTGAAGCTCACAGATACTTTTATAGATTTCTAAGTTAAAAAATACATTTAAGATAAAGTATCTGATGTCAATAACCCCTTATTTTTGTTTGATTAAAAGTACATTAAGACTAGTAAAGATTGAAAAGGAAAACTGTAATTGGTTATATCATTAGGAAGAACTTTTAATAATATTTGTACAGCTTAGGAAGGAGAAAGCTTAGATGGAAGTTTCAGTGGCTGAAAGTAGAAAAGAATGACGAAAACCTAAAAATCGTCCCAATTCCGTTTTCACTGAGCCAGCCTGCAGAGTCCAGTCATCCTTTTGATGCAATACAAAAACCTCTCCACAAATATTTATACATGTGGGTTTACTACTGAGTTAAATTTTTTCAATTTGGGTTGCATCCATCATACCTGTAAAGAAACAGACAAACCTGCACCCCAAACCATACCATGTGCTCCATGTTCTGTGAAATCCACTGGTTTTAACAATTCAGAATTTGCATCTGATCACTGAGGTCCCTATATGAGTACGATGAAGGATTTTTTTTAAATCTGTTTAAGTACATAAAAAAGGTCTGCAAAAAGCAGTGTGGGACTTCTCATTTGATAGAGAGCCAGACGTGTCTGCTTATATGTTCCTATAACATCAGTTAGTCAAAAGTTTTTTCTCAATATCTAAATCATTAAAAATCAGGTAGCCTCTGATCTGTCAAAACCCACATTTGATCAGTTCATGACAGGCTATAACTAAATCTGCTCAACAGACAGCATTTCAGCAAATGTTAGTGGACAATCTACGTAACCTTCCAAATTTAGTCCTTTTCTTATAGTGTTTGATAGTGGTTTACAAAGACATTGAAATCCACATAGCCAAAAAATGTAACACAAAGCCAGTATTACTTTTTTGTAGTTCCTCTTAATACAGAGTAAAGACAGTAGGGAAAATCTCACTTAGGCCTAAATTTAGGTAACTTGATATTAATAGTATTTTACTCTACAGTATTTACATATTCTCTTTCAAAGAGAAACCTTTGAAGGAAATGAATCTGATAAGTTGTCTCTTCTAGAGTCCTGTCATGAAATGGTCTGTTTTCCCTTACCCTCTATTTGAAGTGGTGTTTATTCCTTGTGCCTCACAGATTTCCTTATTTTGCAAATGGTTTTCCATAAGCATTTGGACTTTAGTGGGTATGCTGATATAAATACAATTCTAATGCACACCATCTGTGTACCAAATATCCACGATGTTTTGTTTGCCCTGGCAGTTTGTTACAGGCACGTCCAGCATACCTTATGAAGGATTTGCCTCTCTACGGGGGAGCAATGGTCCAAGAAGGTTCTGTGTAGAGAAGTGGGGGAAGATCACTGCTCTTCCAAGGTACAACTGTTGTGTGTATTAGTGCTAGAGATACTTTAGAATATCAGTTACCAGGATAACGGATGTTTGAGAAACATAAACAAGTTTTAACTGTTTATGTTATGTTTAACTGAATGTGCAAATATACTATGCTTTACATGCCAGTTTCCTTCCCCATTGTTCCAGTGTCTTGATGCGTCCATTTTTCTTTGAACTTAATTTTGTTGTCATAAGATGGACAAGGCAGTGTAACTGTGGCTGACATCCATACCATAATGCTTTTGTCATGGAAAATTGTTTCAGAATGTTAACTACTTCTGAATTGGATTTTGCTATATTGATTAAATGTGCAAGTATTTACTTACTGAACATGCAGCTCATCACTTAGGAGCAAAAATTAATATGAATTAAAGTTAAATAACAAAATATTTAATAAAATTAAATAGCAAAAGCTAGTATCAGACTTTTTGCATTAGGCAGTCTCTACAGAATAGTTCAGTGATGTAAGTTTTGTGATCTGTCTGATGTCAACAAATATGGAAGAGGCAAGTTATGAACTGAAGAAGGGTTGTATTTTGAGGAGCGGGGTCATTTGGCTTAAGAGACGGCACAGGGACAAGAGAAGGTGAAGATTTCAATGAGAACAAGTAGGGTAAATTGAAATATGTCAAGATGGTGAAGGCACAATATGAGAGTCCAAGATATGAAAGCAGGAACTGAGATATAAGAGCCCTTGCAGACAAGAGGCAGCATTTAAACTGGGTAGTGGCAGGTATCAGACCATGGAAAAGAGCTGTTTTCAAAGGTCCATGGTAGCAATACCGGGACTAGACTAACAACATATGAGTGATGCAAGAAAGATCTTCTACCATGGGTGATTCACTGACAAAAAATGACAGGTTCTAGTCTTTTCTGTGTTGTGATTAGACTGGTATGTTTCTGGAAGATTTCCTTTCATCCAGCTCTGTAATTCTGTAGCCTTTAGAATGTGTTAACGGTGGTTAGACACAGATTAATATGCAGAGTGTGGGTAAACCAACTCTATGTAATCAGAGCTAAGCTTTTTTACTTTAGTATGCTGCTTCTATAGCTTGCGATAGTAGCTTTGTGCTGGGCTGATCCATGGAGGAAACTCAATCCTAATGCTAGCCCATTCCTAGTAAGCAAGATTCCTCAGGAATAACTTGCATTCAGACTCTTTTTAGACACAAGGCATCTGTCAGACACACTGAGTTTCTCTGACCAACAACCCTTAGCTTGTTCCTCCAGCGTAAAGGCAGAGGCAGAGGCATCAGGCTGCTGTTCGAACCACACTGGGAAAGTCAGAAGTGGCACTGTGAAATCCACAGGCACAGCAGGTGACCTTTAAACAAAGCCATCTTTCCAGTGTACAGTACAAATGAGAGGCAGGCAACTGAGGACTAGAGATAAGCAAATTCTGGAAATTGCTATTTCAAATCAAACACTCTTAATATATTTTGGGTGCCTAGTAATACCTTGTAGCCTGGTAAGTCTACTTTATTATTTAGGTATAAAATAGATTTGATTTTGTTCAAAAAGAAAAAGCTTTGATATTTTTTAATATTATTTCTAACTTCAAATTACAAGATTTTCTTGTGAGTTTAAGTAAGAAAAGAAATTGTGGGAGTTTTTCCTGTATATTCTCTAAAACTGGAATTCGTGGTGCTAACAAGCACAGCTTGTAGCATGGGAAAGATCAGGACATGCCAGGATAGGATGCTCAGAATTTCCCCCGAAAAAGTTAGCAGAGCCCTGGCTGTAACGAACTGCAGAGTAAAACTGCTTCCTATAGGGAGATGCCGAGAAACTTTGCTACCATACGGTGTTCAGCAAATACAGAGGAAAAGCCAACTCTTCAAATAGAGGAGAATGTATTGTGTCCTTGAAATTTCATTTGTGATTCCCTTGGTTAGGAAACATCGGGAAACATCTGACTTTTGTTTCTGTGGATAGTTTTTAACATAAAAACGTGAGAATTAAACCAACAACACACTTGTTTAAAAAAAAAAAAAAAAGAAAAAAGCCAACAACTCTGTGTAACAAACATCTACAGTTGTCATGAGCTGAGAATTTCTGGCATTCATACATGGGGAACTTTGATCTTATAAAACATAAATGATCTTCCGTGTTCATGCTTAAATGGGCTAAGCCCTGAGCAGAAAGTGGTATTTGCATTTTAATGTATCTAGTTCCTGTGTGCAGTGTAGCTTCAGCCTGCTTCTCGCCAGCTTCAAAGACTTACTGTGCAAACACTGAGTAGTGCTGGCTTGAAGGTAAGACATCATTAACAACGACCCTGAGTAGCAAACCTTGAAGAGGTTTCCACACAAGCCCTGCGTGTGTAAACACATTGCTGGATGTGCTGAGAATGCTGCCCCAGGACTCCGTCACTCTTACTGATTGTCAGATAACTAAACTATTTGTATTAAGGCACCATCACTCGCTTGTAGCAGTGCTATGCTTTTCAAGTTGCCCTCTTAGGGGGAGAGCTTGTGAAATTTGATATTGCTTGGTGTGAGGGTGGCCAAAGTTAGGACTCCACAAGGCAGTGGACTTTGTTTCTTCCTCTGTTTCTAGAAGAACTACTGCACTGCTGAAAACATGTATAAATACCCATCCCCATCTCTTCTTCCTGATTTTTAGACATATAAGGCAACTAATAAAGTTACTTGGGTATGTGCTTATGGTCTAAGCAGCTGTGAATATAAACACAGAAGTATTCACTAGATGTTTACCTAGTTCCCACTGTTCTGACTGCTGTGTAATCAGTTCTGCTGAATCAAAATAATGACATCTCTGTGAGGCGCATGTCAGATTGCCTAGGTTGTATCATTGTCTTTTACACTAATAAGTCAGCAGCGTGTAAAAGGCCCTGAAAAGATTGATGATTACAGGTTTAGCTTAACTATTGCTATCCCTGATTCTTCTTCCTTATCTCATGCTGTGTTGTAGATTACACTGAATCAGCAGGGAGACTGTTACTCTTTCAATTCACTTACCTGCTGAGAAAATCAGTTCCAGGTTCATAGCTGTGCATTATATACGTGCATGTGATGATTCACATGCAAGTAGTATTTGTGTCTGCTGGATTTTAACCCTAAGTCATGCAATTTACTACTGCAGTCAGAACAAAGGGAAGATTAACTGGGAATCTAGACTTCAGGAACCAAGATGCTTTTTCATATTGTCATACAATGTCAGTCCAGGAAGATGAACAGTTAGTGCCCACGTGGTTTGAAATGTTGGAAAGCGAAAATACTGTCCAGAGCCAACAAACTTTTCTTTTTGAAGACTTACAGAGTTGCTTGCTAGGGTGAGGAAAGCATGCGTTGCCTCAGAAGACAAAGATCTTAAGTTTTTGTCTTTTCTAATGAATGGCTTGGTTTTCCAAAGTAGGTGATTACATTTTCAACCTTGCCCTCAAAATTAAGATAAAACTCAATTCCCTTTATAAATATAAATGACGTGCCAGCTTACTATTAAACCAGTTTCTAATTAATCCCTTGCTAATTACATACTATGTCTTTTATAATTTGTGGTTTTGCAGCCCACACAGCATGATCCATAGTTCTAATGAGTGGCTTTCAGCTCCAAGCAGCAGAAGCATGTGGTTAGACTGTTAATTGCCTAAGACTCTCCCACATTCTCCACTGAACTCAAGGGATCACTGAGTTCCAGTTGCACATTTGCTGCTGGGTCTAAATCGGTCTCTTGCTTCAAAAATTCACAGATACTACTTTGTAAGGAGTTTTTGGAAAGGCAAATCAGGAGTACAAAGGAAGCTTTCCTTCAGGAGCCTTAGAGGGATGGCTGTAATACTAGGCTTCTGGAATACAGGGTGGGGAAATGCCCCCTCTGCTATACAGTACGTACTAACAGTATACTTCTAAGAGTACTGTATTTTGGGGAGGGTGTGAAATTTGATGCTTTTTTGTAAGTGATTGCAGTGATTTTTAAGTGATTTAAGTGCTGTTTGGACTGTGTTTATAATTAGTAGTGTGGCCTTCTGTACGGAGTATATATTTTTTCAGCCTGATACTTTTATGACACTCTAAGGCTGTAACTAAGTGAATATTTCAGCTTCTATGCGGGTTTGTAATAGACTCTTGGGTTTTTAACAAATGAGGTTAACCCACTTCACTTCATGTTCCATCCCTGCAGTTGGGAGCTGAAAGTCACTAAAACAGCAATTAGTTAATTTGTTCCCATGGAAGGCAGCACTTTCTGGCTCAGAGAAAGCTCAGTACGGCTCTGTTGTAGACACTCAGATTTCTGGGAGTGGTTAGATTAAATAAGGAGTTAATTTGCTGCAAGGAGGGAGCTTGTTCAGTCCTTCCATTGCCATTATGTTACACATCTACATTTAATATGGGTCATACTTGATGAAGGGCAGGTCACTGCAGGGAAAATTTTTCACCTGAATTGTATTCATGTAACTCTGTGATGTGTTACATTGCAAAAGAATAAACTGAGACCTGCCAAAATACAAAAAGGTTTTCATGCTCTAAAATCATCTAAAATGGGTCTTTTGGTCCAGCTTCAATTCGCATCATTTCTTTCTCAAGAGTCCATCACATTAAAAATTATGCTACCTATTTCACTAGAGAAGGATAGTGTTTTAGAAAGCCTGTTTAGATAGCCTGCCCTGAGGTCAGGCAGTGATATCCATTATTCTGCTATGAGGAGAAACCTTTATTATCTCCCTTTTCATTCCCTGGAAGAGGTTTTGAGGATCAGTTCAGAGTGTGTCAAAAAGCTGAGGTGTATGGACTTTGGAAACTGTGATTTAAACCATGTGGTTGCCCTCTTAAGAAAGCAGGGTGGGGGTGGTATGCTAGAGGTACGTGCATAGTTTCATGTAATTACAAAAAGTATTATTCTAAAGGTCATTGGCTTGCAGGGCCATGTATGTACATAGTGTAAATCAGCACAAGCAGAACAAGATTTATATGCCAAGGAAATGTAGAAGGAAGAGCATCTCATTTGTCTGTCCTTTACTACTGTGGATTGTGTCCTGTGTATCTAGAGTATTTTCATCAAATCTAGTATCTTATGCATATTCAGTGTACTGAAATACCTTGCTTTTGGTTACAAATACAGTCTTCAAGTATCATCAGTACCAAAAAAAAAACCCTTCTCAGAAGATACATTTAAAGCCAAGATTTTGGAACAGACTATTTGAATTGTACCATGCTGCGTCATCCTTTTCTCATGCACATTTAATGGATAAAATTTATCCCATGCCTTTTGGGCTGTGAGTGTGCTTCTAAAGACCTTCATAAATGCTTCTTACTGGTTTCTTTTAATTAGAAGAAAGTAGATTAAACCTCGCTATGCGTTCAATTGGAAAACATCATTTGACAGAACAAAGTATTCTGGAAGAATACTATCTGCACATCTCTATGCAAGCACATACCAGTCTGTGTGTTCTCTTTTGAACTTCTTAATAATGTACTTCTTCACCTTCTCTTTTTTCCCCCCCTCAGGGCTCACACTTGTTTTAATCGTCTGGACCTTCCCCCTTATCCATCATTCTCTATGTTATATGAAAAACTGTTGACAGCAGTTGAAGAGACAAGTACTTTTGGACTTGAGTGACACACAAACCACAGTGCCCAGCTCATTGGACTTTTGTGGATCTGTCTTCTCAACAAATGAATGAACGTTTGTCTTGGATTTCCTAGAGGAAAATTGTTTCACGGTGCAATTCAAATAATGAGGTTCCATGAAAGAGCAATTAAAAAGCATTGTGGTAGTGGCAGAATTCTCTACAGTGAAATTAGAGTGTGCCTGATGTGCAGGGAAAACCAAGTCTTGCAATCCGTGGTTTTTCAGGACAGCCAAACTTCCTAAGTTTATGTTCTGAGCAAACAAGAAACATAATCCCATGTTGTGATCAAACTGGCTACTGCAAAACTGACATGTACCCGAAAACTGGATTTCATCAAAGTTGTTGAATATAAAATTCAAGTCAAAATGTGAAATCATTCAGCCCTTTACCTACACAGTAAATTATCAAAAAACCCTTTTTTTTCCTTTTTTTTTTTTTTTTTAAATTCCTGAAGGTACATTACTTTATGCCATATGTTGTAATAGCATATCCTGTTCTTGCTTTACTGAAGACTACGAGTGCCTGCATGGTGTGCGCCGTAATGCTCACCTTCCTGGGGCAGAAATGAATTGGAAGGAAAGTCAGCAACAAAGGATGTAACCATAATGGCTTGCATTAAGGAGGTTTGTGGAAATGTGTTTGCCAGTGGTGTGTATGACAAAAGATGAGCTGTTACAATGAACTTAATAACCATAAGACTGATTTTATGATTTATACTGCATGGAAACTATTTTAAGAAGAAACTAGCAATTTATCACAGCATATCAGGAAAAACAAAACCCTAACACAGTGACTTCTGTTTATTTTTATAGGTTCGTTATATTATGTTTCTTAGAGTGTAAACAGGAAACAAGCAAACTAAAACACAGTTTCTGTTTTGGTCACTTTCCATGCTTGAACAGGCATTCCGCTAGTGTTTATTCTTTAAGCACTCTCAAGGGGAAAAAATGCCTTTTATTTTTATAAGAGTAAAAAACTCCCAAAAATATTTTGCACTGAATGAACCAAAGTTGAAGGGACATTATGATCTGACTGACAGCAAACTGCATCACTATCTAGTATCTATAAAACCACTTAGGAACCAGGCTTTCTTCACGGTGCCATGTCTATAGATATCAGGACTGTGCACATAAGTAATAATTTTATAATACTATATATGATATTGTAATATGCATTTATTTTAAATGCATCTGGGTCATTTTTCATGCATTGGATAACTTAATGCAGTGGAGTTTAATACAAATCTTTCATATGCTCCCCACTTTTTATTTGTACAGCACCATAAAACACTAGCTCATTTGGAAACCCATGAGTAACCTACTTTAAGGTGAGCCGCTGGTCATAATGCCACTGTCCCATATTAGTGAACTCCTACAAGATGTAAACTGTTCATAGTGTCTAAGCTTGCATTTTCACTGATAAATAGTTTTCTTATCAAATGTTATTTGAAAGAGTTTTTATGGCATTTCAAACACTGCATGGACACCAGTTTCTTTATGCTTAATTTTGCTGAAATACACGAGGCTTGCTTGCATCTATTTATGGTACTTTCCTCCAGTCAGTCTTGTGGAACACTTGTGCAGCTGCACGCTGTTTCTTGTACAGCTGCTGTCATGCAGTGCATCCACCACCTTTTAAAGTCCCGGGAAGTTGCACTTGGATACTGGACGACAAGAACATGAATCTAGCTTTGCGCTAGCCCTCTCGGTAGCACCGAAGCACAGCAAGCCTTGTTCCGTGGGGAAGGTAGCTTGTGAAGCAATGTTCTCACTTTGGAGACTCTTGAAAGGGCATCTCAGGGGGGTATCCTGCTTGTTCTTGCGGGAGTTGTTTTCCAGCCGAGCTGAACGTCTATGGAGATGTCATCAGCAAAGACTGCCACTCCACCCTCCAAATCAGAAGGCAGCTGTGGTGGTGGCAGCAAAGACTGAGCAAACCCTTCAGGCTTACTGAGAAGATGTCACCTGTGCAAAGGAAAACCCATTTGCAAAATCAGAGTGAAAGCATTCTTTTTTTTTTCAGGAATAATTGAGCTTCTGCATGTCATCTGGGACTCGCTTCAGTAACAGGTTTTCTTGCGCTACTTTTGGCTTGTATGAAGTATCAAAGCAAAATCCAAACATGTCACCTTATTTTTTGCACATATATTTATCAGTCTTTGCTGAGATTGCATGTCACAGATCCTAATGCACATCTTTTTTCAGAACACCAATGAGCAGTAGGCAAACTGACTTTTCATCAGGTCACTCCAGCATGGCTCATGTTTCATATGATCCATTCACTGAGTAGCTAAAACTCGGGCACTCGAAGCAGAATGCAGCTTTTGATTGGTTGAAGGACTGCAGAATTCTGATTTTACAATACTGTGTTATCTGTGGTCTAAAAAGGAGATTTCCCAGGTGGAAACTGTATCTACAAGTTTTGAACCAGAAACTCTTTGGAATGAAAAGTTTAAATATTTGGCACAAAGTAAGTTTATACTAGTCTGCCTTTTAAGTTATGCTTTTGTACAAAACTAAAACAATAAATGCATCTTGACAATTTTTATTTAAATATATCTACTGCACACATTTGTTCTGTATTTATGCATGTAAAAATAATGGAAATCATCCATGATGTTCCGGAATTCTGTAAAGATGTGACAGGGTCACCAGTGGGGCAGCCATCAGTTAAAAAAGAAAATATATATATAAAGGTAAATAAAATCCAGAACCCTTGTAGCATTAAGACCAGGAGAGACTGGGGAGAAACTGATGCTTCCTCCTTCGCTGCCAACATCACCTGGGGGACTCCAGGAAAATGCAATTTGAAAGTGATGAGTTAACTGCCCAGATACAGCTGCTTCTGGTGCCTCAAGAACTTGGTTGGCTCTTTGTGATGATATAAGCAATGCTGCTGCTCTGAAGAGATTAGCAGGAAGGGAGTAAAGGAAAGGAAGCCTGAGCCTCCTCAAACACCCGTGTCTCCTGGCTACTGCTTAGGAAATTCTCCCTTCAGTGTGGGAAGCCATTCCTGTTAAATGTGTCCCAAGTGAAAACCAACTTTCATGCCCTGCAGATGATCACAACAGGCAACCAGGGTGCTTCTGCTTATGATGTGCTGTGGTGTGCATGAGGCTCCAAACAGAGAAAGGCTGAGAAGCTTTTCTGAAGCTGTGCATCTCCTCAGAGCTTTTCTGGATGGTGCTAAGGAGCTTTGCATTTTGGGAAGAAACAAAACCAGTCAACCTGAAGTAGACAAAAGATTCCCTTCAGCTACAGTGTGATAACAGCTCATACCAACTTAGCCTGCAGCATCTTCATCAGACAGAGTCTGGCTGGGGTGGGTCCCCGCAAGAGTTCAAGTGTGGTGCCCATCTTTCCTGCTCTGCTGGGAAGCAGAGACATGCACTGCTAGCCAAAAAGCAGCCAGCAGGTCCTTGCAACCCATGGCAACTTCAAGTGACCTCTGTCCCTGGCACTCCAGGGCCAGGCCCACCTCTTCGCAGGTCCCAGCATCCCAGCCAAGCAAAGGTATGCTAGCTGTCAGTCTGACCACAGCACTCCTAAACACACTGGAAAAGCTTGTGATCAATGAGATTTGGCAGTGCAGGCCTTCCTGTAGCTGACAGTTACCCATTCAAAATCTGCAGGCCAGCAGCAGTTAGGGTTGCAGTGGTTTTGCCCACAGCAGGCAGGAGCTGGCCACCTGCTATCTGTCACCCCATCAGCAGCATCTTGCAGGGTAATGCAGGAAAGCCGCCTTTCAATCCAAAATAAAAGTCCAGTTAACACACAATCCTGCTCACCAGAAGCAGAACTTTTCTCCCACCTCCTGCCTGCTGTTTTTCCTTAGTATTCATCAAATAATTGCCTTTTTTTGCTTTTAAACACAATTTTCATTACCTCTTGTAGTGAACCTACCATAAAAGGTGTTACTATGCCTTAGAGAGCATCTAGGGTGAAAGCCATGTGCGTACAGAGGCATGCTGGGCACCACACAAACTCCACATTGAAGCGGTTATCCTCAGGTCATACAGGGTATAGCGAATATATGTAATCTTTGGGGAAACTGAAAATCTAGGCAGCAGTGTGCTGGCAGGACATCAGACCAAGTTTCTGGCATGAGTTAAACTGGCAGAGCACCGGACTGGTAGTTTGCTCAGTTTAAAATTATAGGAAAGAAAAGAGTTTTGTGGTTTCTTATGTATTTTTAATCCCTTTAAAAGTAGTTAAAAAAGCTTCCCTCTGAAGCATTCATATGGTATCATCCGGTTGCTAAATGTAATCTCAGCAGTATTCATTGCAGATGTTTACTGAATTTCTGCAGTGGTGGCTGCAGAGGTTCATGGTGATACTTGCAAGCACACTGTCTCTGGACTGAGGGAACTCCTATTCACAAATGGGCAGCTGTGTTTGAACAGCCAGTATAAGTTCATTTCCCATAGCAAAAAGCAAGTTAATTCTTTTTCAGGGAATGAAACTAATTTGTATTAAATGATACTAGTAGTTGCGTTTTTCTTGCCATTGTTTTTATGTGAAGGGGTACTTTATTCCTCTTAGCACTGATGGAAATGGAGCAAAATATGGTCTCCAGTCATAAGATTACAGACTTAGCTTTAACATTAACCTTAAAGTATTAAAACTCAAGCATCAGTGCTGTTTCCCCTTCTTATCCGTTTCTTCCTGGACAAGCAAATTGAACTCTCAATAAAATTTCACCATAAGGACTCAAACCCGGCTTCTTAAATAGTTTGCATTTCAGCTCAATTCTGTGGTCCAAAACAGAACAGCAGAAATGTTCTGGGTTGACTGGCTTACCAATTGCAAGTAAAAAATCCTTATAATGTTATTAGCACAACCACAGTGGCTGCTGTTGGACTAGGCTAACCTTTGGCCTAAGTGTTTTACAATAAAAAAGAGTGTAGGAGGTTGATTTTGAAATTGCTTGTTTGCTGGAAAAATAAACGTACATTAGGTGAATAGTAAGGGAAAAGAAGAACTTTATT